ATGTTCCGGCACCCGTGCCGGATAATCCACGTCCAAATCCGGACATTTTTGGTTGTATTTGTTAAGTGTATGTTTTGGTTGCTCTCAAAGCCTGAAAATCAATGGTAAAATTTATCAACCGCCTCATGACTTGGTAATTGTTTCGAATATGGTGCGGGTATATCCTCACAACGGTGAACAATGTCAAGGAGCAGTAACATGTATTTTCATTTTAACACGGATTGTGTGAAAAAGAAGCAACCTGCATTCCATTTTAGATATCTGCTTCTTCTTCCGGACGTAATCAGACACTTACAAGAGGTCCATTATCAGTTTCTTGCCCTTCAGGGGTTAAGACTATAAATACAAATGTGTTTAGTATACTGTATTGTACATCCCTATATGGTTTCGACGCTGAATTTCAGACATTTCATTATTAAATGTATTAAAATTAATTAAATGACATTGAAGTTATGAGATTGACGTTAACTTCATGTTTGTGATTGATGTTTCGAGTGGATATTTTTAGCATGCAGCATATTCGCAATATTCGCGTATTCGTAGTGCTATAGCACATTCAATGTTGGATTGCATCATACTATACTACACTACACTATAATTACTTTTGCACACAATTGCTTCTGAATTCAGCGCAATCTGCTTTGCATGCCGTGGTTTCCTTCTCAGTCTGCTGTCATTTCATAATCAAGTGCGGCGGCTAAATAAACAAAGTGTGTCATATGCAGTCAATCATATCAAAACAGACAAATGTTTTACTTTGTAATATAGTGCTACCACGATGTTCATTCTTAAAAAATCAAAATGCTTTGCATATAATATTTTATACTATCATTGAATTGTGCCCCCCCCCCCCTGCAAATTATTATCATGTATATCTCCTGTGGTGCAAAATGCTATAATTTGCATAAATTATGCACTGTTCCAGGTTCCTGTATCGCTTTTTAGTGGTAGCTGTATGTGAAAGGAATGTTCGATATAATGAAAAAGCTTGGCAAGCTTGACATAATCGACAGCCGCATGAAAGCAATGGAGAAGGGTTTAAATGAAGTTAAGAGCTCGGTCGAGTATGTTCATGCAGAGGTTGAAGACCTTAAAGAGGAAAATAAAATCTCCAAGAAAACAGAGGAAGAAACAAAACAAAGACTGAAGAAACTGGAAAGATTAACTCTGTTTTAAACAATCACGTCATTGACCTTCAGCCAAGGTCATCATTGACCTTCAGGCAAGGTCAATGCGCGATAATCTTATTCTATAATCTAAAGGAAAATAAGGAGGAAAACACGACTGAGGTAATCCACAGTCCTGAACGGTTAATTAAGCGAAAAACCAGATTTTCATCATGAAGGATGTACTTTTCTTAAACATATATTAGCAAGCAATTTTCTACTACAACATGGACTTACTGGGAAGAAAGAAAATTTGGGATACATGTCTTTCCTTGGGAGGAAACGCCCCTTGAAAATGGCATATTTTAACTTTTCGGGATGTGTTTTCACAGTCATGTCTCAAGCACCGGTTGCTGCTATGCGGGATGAGGAGTTAGAGCAGAAAGTGAAAGACCTGGAGGGTTACCTCTGTGGAATCGCGAAAGGAGGACCACAGGAATGCCTCATTGAATACAACAAGGGTGGGAAACCTTGACTTCCAATGTCCAATGGGACAGTTTACCGAAGGCCAACATGACCTGATCTCAGATATGTTAATGGTGTTGTTCGGTGCCACTGGTGACCACTCCGCAGCATATATTTCAAAGGTCCTGCTCCCTGAGGTCCTCATTAAATTGTATATGTACACCAAAGGATTTGAATATACCAAGGCCGAGGAGTGTGTGTAGATGAGTAGCCCAAAATAATGTGTTTTTAAACATTGTATTTTAGGACCATTCCTAAGCAGATTTGTGAGAGCAGATGGGACTGCTACGGAACCACCACCTTCGTTGCTGCCACTCTTTCCGGAGCCCTTACCTGATGGCATTGTACCGCCCACAGGAGAGTCGATGCGAACATCTGATGTTGTACCGCCGGCAGAGACATCAGAGGGGAGGAAGGCATTATTGAAAATCTTAACTACGTATTGTTTATTTCCGGCAACCAGGAAAATCGATTATAATTAGAAGAAATGTCCTCATGTGTTTTTAATCTTTCCAGAGAAAACATACGACTGATGAGGAGAAAGAAGAAAGTTAAGAAGAATTCGACCATCAAGGAAATAGAGAAGCCTCCCTGTCCTTCGGTTATTCAGACATCATCTGAAGGACTTTGAGGGAGGCTCAAGAAGACCAAACGTCGGGAAAAATCACATGAGACGGGTTACTCCACAAGATTGAAGATCCTGCAACAACCGTGAAAACCCTATGGGATAATAACAAGTTGAACATGCTAAAAAAACAATTTTTTTAAAGGGAATGACCTCTTGGGAAATAATTAAAGAGAGACGCTGAAAGCATATATAATCTTGTTGTGGCTGTTTTTTTAATTCATTATATCGCGCCATGAGGAAGTAAGAATGTTGGAGCCGTTGGATGACAATGACTTACACCTAATCAACTTGGCCATTACAAGGCTCGACAGCTGGCCAAAGGCATTCTCTGACGCATCAAATCTTTGGAAGTCAGATATACGAAAGCAACATATCGATGAAAAGCTCACAGCAAAGGACTTTTAGTCATTCTTCAAGTCCTTCAACAGTCCAAGGGCGACGGAAATTAAGAAAATGTTTGACGATGTGGCAAAACCTACTGTTGGTGTGAATACGATACAGAGTATCAGTGTGAATACGATTAAGAGATTGTTCACAGGCCTGTAGACAATGCTGATAGAGCAAGCGATCGAGTCCCTCCCACCCAATACTACTGGATGGAAATGCATCGAAGCCATACATATACATACTTTATTGAGCAATACCCAACTGGGCTTTTCAATGCCCATTACATGTTATAGTTAATATTATAATTATAGTTATATTAAGTATTTACAGTTTATATTACATTAATTGTTAAAATAGTGGTCTAACAGATTGTTTTTCATTAACTTCTTGAAATGGCGGAGAGATCTTGCTTCTTTGATATTTTCATCCAGGCCATTCCAAAGATTAACAGCCCTGTAGTGAAAGGAACGTTGTCCAGTGGCGGTTCGGTTGAAAGGGATTTGCAGCGTATCTTGGTTTCTCGTGAGTCTGCTGTGTATCGAAGATCGTTTCGAAAATTTTTCGCTTAAATATTGTGGGACAAGCGAGTTCATGCATTTGTACTTCATAATTGAGTCTCTGAGAATAAGTTGTTCTTTGACAGGTAGCCAACTAATCTGACGTAGCGCAGGAGTGATGTGGTCAAACTTTCTAGTGTTTGTAATAATCCTGCATGCAAAGTTCTGTACTGCTTGGAGCTTGCTAATGTTTGTGGAAGATGTATTGGACCATGTAGAAGAACAGTAGAATAATTTACTGATAACAAGTGATGAAATGATGAGTTTGAGCGTTTCTTTATCAAAACTGTCTTTCACTCTGTTAATTTGACAAAGTTTTGCAGTACACGATGAGACAAGATTTTTGATATGTTCGTTGTACGATAAATGCGAATCTAGGGTAACTCCCAGATCTTTTGCACTGAACACAGGAATAATATCTTTACCTAGGAATGAGAGAGTCATTGACGAAGGTAGTTTTTTTAACAACTGGGGTGTGCCAATAAGAAGAAACTTGGTTTTCTCTGGGTTGATCAATAAATGATTAGTCGAACACCATTTAGCTACAAGACAAAGGTCTTCTTCCAGATTCGCTTTGGTGGAAGTAGTGTCTTTAATCGGAAAGGATAGGAAAACCTTGGAGTCATCAACGTATGATTCAAGGGAGCTACTGCGTGGTGATAGTGGGAGATCATTCATGTATATGCAGAAGAGTAAGGGTGAAAGTATCGCTCCTTGTGGTACGCCGTGGGTGAGGTTAAGGGGAGAAGATGAAGTTGAACCAATACGTACTACTTGTGATCGTCCATTTAGGTAGCTACCAAACCATCTCAATGAGGGTTTAGACGCTCCGATGCGTTCCAATTTTTGAAGTAGGATATTGTGATTGACACTGTCAAATGCTTTAGACAAATCTAAAAGCACAAGTGCAGTTAACTTCTTATTATCCATCGCTTTCAAAATAGTGTCATTCACAAAAATAGACAGTGTTTCTGTGGAGAAGTGTTTCTTGTTGCCACTTTGGTGGGAGGACAAACGATTGTTTCTCGTTAAGTACGTGTTGAATTGACTGAGCACAATTTTCTCGCAGACTTTAGAAGCAACGGGTAGAAGCGAAAGAGGGCGATTGTTTGAAGCTTGCTCATGGTCACCATCTTTTAACAGAGGTATAACTTCAGCCTTTTTCCATGCTTTGGGATATGTAGATGTGTTGAGGGAACAATTGATTATGTCTGTTTAATAGGGGGCCTAAAATAACTGGTAACGAATCTTTAATGACCCGCGTATTGATCTTATCGAGACCAGGAGATTTGTTGGAGGGCATAGATAGAATAATATTTTGTACTTCTGTGCAGGTAACAGGACGGAAATAGAACAGGTCGTCAGGGGAATTTCCAGGTGGTGTGGAGTGGAAGGCTGATGGTGGAAATGTTAATATTATTTTTCAAAGCTAGCCGGAACTGGTTGAAATCGTCTGCTACCGATTTATGGTCTTTACCGTATGTTAGAGTGGGTCTCTCTTTGGATGGTATAACTTTATTAATAATTTTCCAAAGACAACCCGGTTTATCTTTGTGAGTTTGTACCTCATTACGGATGTAGTTTCTCTCTGCGTTTCTTAGTGTGGTTTTTATCGTTTGCCGAGCTTCCATATAGATATGCCAGTCATTGTCGTCACGTGTAGTTTTGAAACGGCGAAGTATTCGGTCCCTGGCATTCATGAGATCTTTAATTTCAGTGGTGACATAGGGACAAGGACGGCTACGGATCTTGATACGCTTGACAGGAGCATGAGCTTCAAGGGTGGAAATAAGAACAATGTTGAATGTTGCCAATTTCGAGTCAACATCAGGTTTAGTAAATATGGATAACAAGTTGCTAGAGTTGGAGGCCAGGGCAGCAGAGAACAACGAAGGGTCATAGTTTTTAAAACTGCGCACAGTGATGAAACGTGAAGGAGGCTTGGGTAGTCTCAACTTCAACGTGGCGAAGACGGGGAGGTGGTCACTTATCGCTGTGTCGATGACGCCACTGTCGCATACCAGGTCAGGGTTGAAAATGAGAATAACATCAATAAGTGACTGGCTGCGGTCTGTGATTCTGGTTGGTGTGGTAATACTTTGGGTTAGGTTTAATTCTATTGAAATATCAGTGAGCGCCTTGTTTTCAGGACATTCTTTTAGTGTAATACAGTTAAGATCACCGAGGATGTTATAGGTTTGTTCATTGATAAAGCTGTAATATAGCTGGGCTTTAGAAGAGACTGGAGACAGGTGAGTGGACAGTCGGGAGGACGGTATGTTGCACAAACCACGAGTGATTTTAACTTCTTATACTGAAGTTGTAGCCATAGTTGGTGGAAATTGCAGTCAGAAATATCTTTCAAAATATTTTCCTTAATGTCATTCCGAATGTATAAGCAAACTCCCCCTCCTTTCTTATGTAAACGGTCGAGTCTGTGTAGTTTGTAGCCATCGATAGTTATCTCTTTGTTTGTTACAGTCGAGTTTAGCCAGGTTTCGGAGATGGTAAGCACATCTATATTCTCAGATTTAGCAAATTCTCTGACTTGAATGAGATGATCTGTGTTGCGCAATGAACGAATGTTTACATGAACTATTTTAAGATTCGAACCGGGATTAGAATGGCGTCTTGTTGAAATGTGAGAAACTGTTGATGTTGAAGCATCTATATTACGCGAGTCCGTGTCAGCAGAGTCTGAAACTGATGTAGTTTCTGGAGTTGCAATCTTTATACAAGGAGTTTGCTGTTCGGTTGAGTTATGACTAACAATAGAGACGCAATTCGACGGAATATGTGAACGTAGGTCTGTAGCTGGTTTAGATATGCAGATTCGTCGAGCATACACAGGATGAATATTAATTACATTATTGTTAATGTTATTAGCAACTTTCCGTTGTTTAACTTTTGTCCCACTACGAAGGCCGCGATAAGGTTTCAGGATTTCAAAATAACGAAGGAAAGAATATGTATGTTCGTCGATGTATTTGGCCAACTGAGAGAATCGAAGACTACGTATAAATGAAGGCTTGTATGTAATCTTTGTGATGGCGGCCGACCGTGACGATGCTCCGACGGTTATTAAATTTTCCGCTCCAAAATTGATCCTTTTTGATGTTTCAGGACCCGGATTCGGCGATACGTCAACACATATGGTCAGATCAACCTTAAAAGGTTTCGAAGGAAGTGCTAAACAAATAGATCCATGTTTAGACGGTTTATTCACTGCAAATGGAACTTTGAATTTCGAATCATATTTTGTTCGGTGAATATTGACATGCTGTCTGAAAAAAGTCGATTCGTATGTCGTTGAAATCGCACCATCCTCATTCAATCCATAACACTCTTTGTAGATATTACTCTTAACAATACTTGTAAACAATCTAAATGCCAAAAACTGACTCGAGAAGTTCAAAAATATTAAAAAAATGACGAGCTTAAAAACTAGGTGGCAGCCATTTTGGCGCACGGGGACTATCCATATCTCTTCTCTGTGACTGGATCAAATATTTGCAATCGATATTTTGATAACAACATTTGTTGTAATAATCCATCCTGACTTGCAGATAGCATAGATTCACAAATCATAATGAACGAATTAATGAAAGGGCCTAACAAAAGAGGTAGAGAAGACTGAGGGCCCCCTATACTTTTTGCGTGAAGCGTGAAGGGCTTATTTTACTTAGCCGTGAAACGTGATCGGGCCCCCTATAATTTTTGCGTGAAGCGTGAAGGGCTTATTGTACTTAGCCGTGAAACGTGATCGATGATTGTCTTAATCCGTGACTCGTGAAAAGGCAAAATATTTTTACGTGAAAGCATATTATGAAGAGGTATAGGGGGCGCTCAAGACTTTGAAAATGCCATTTCCGACAATTTAGAGACGCAAAATTTTCAAAATTTTTCCGCTCTGTGCCAACCATGGTGGTGCTTCGTTGGAGTTGGTCTCTCTAAGTTTATCAAGCTGGCTCCCTGAGTGACTATGCAAGTACTTAACTGAAGGTTCAGCCTATCTACAGCATAATGTAATGCTGTAATTGCAGTCATATGGGTAGACAAACAACATCAATGTTGGTCACAAAAAAACCCCATCAATTTATAATACTCCAAATCCAAAACATCTGGTGTCATGCCCCTTCCTGAGCAGGAAAGGACATTGTTTAAAAGAATTTTATTGTGATATTTCCCATAAAACCAGGCCAGCACAACACCTTCGATTTTATCAACAACAAGACTTGTCATCCCTTTTTACCAACGAACTCGCTATCCTTATCCAATCCTTCCACCAGCGATGAAACACCCTGCAATTTGTCACCCTCCCATGATTTACCCATATGTGCGGTCCCTGATGGAGATCCCCACAAAATCACCCAGGCGTTGACAGTGCCACTACAACATCTAACCCCCTTACCTTAACCACCGTCTCAAATCGAAATTCCCAGTTCAACCGCCGTTTCCAACTCGCCAAACATGCCCCTTTTATTCCAAATCAACAGTGATGGAAATCCCAGTTCAATCTTGGCACATACATGTTTTTCTCCAATTTCTAATCGTTTAAATAGTGAGTTTGAAAGTGGTGAGTTTAAATAGTGAGTTCGCCCCACGCCTGGTGGTGGTGTCCTAGCCTACGTGAATAACAAAATACCAACTAAACCGTCTCACAAATCTTGACGACGATGGAAAAGAAGTTCTATGGCTCCTACTTAAACCGCTCATGACCCCCAGGCCCTATAGTGTAATAATAGTTATTTGTGTGTACTACCCATCAGGACAGACAACTGAAGGTGAAAGAGCAATCCCCTTCAGTTGGTGTAATCATCACTGGAAACTTCAATAAAATGAGACTGAACTTACTATTTAGACGTTTCAACCTTAAAAATCCGTACGGGCTGCTACAATTGGTAGAAATATTTTAGATCAAATCATTACCAATATGCCAGAGCTATACAATAATGTTCTACATCTGCCACCGATCGGACGTTCTGACCACCAATGCTTACTATTCACCCCAAAGTTGAAACAAAAGGTTAAACCGGTTTCCGGAAAAGTGCCCCTGACAAAATGTAGTAACCTAATTGAACTTGGCATACATATGAATAGAGAGAACTGGGAAACAGTCTATGATGCCAGAGAGGTTGACGACAAAGTAAATGCGTTCACTTTTACTATCGTGCGCATGATTGATAAATAACTGCCTATAAACGCACTATATGTATCCATCCCTCCGACAAGCCATGGATGACACAGCGTATAAAGCTTGAATAATATCATGATCGCGGGTATTCCCTTTGTTCTCGCTGGGCAATTAATAACTAATACACCTCATTATATTCATTTTTTCTAATCCTACCCGCTTTTACGTCATGTCAGGTAGAATTAGTTGTAATACTACCCGAAACGACGTCAAAGCGGGTACGATAAGAAAAAATAGGTACGCAGTGCGTACATGTTGCATGCCATCAAAAGAATGAAACCTCATGACTCATAATACTATACGGAAATCCATCTCCATTGCTTCCTGTGTAAGTACTATTTGTCATGATTTGTTACTCGGCAAGTACCATAACCGGAAGCAGTCACCTCCCTGGCACTGAACAAAGACACACAGAAGGTCGATTTAGAGTAACCGCTGTCACGTCCCAGCCAGTGCGTGCCGATAATATTCTGATAATGTCGTGCTGATAATATTCAAAATGACAGACGTCCCCCTGGACGTCTGTCATTTTGAATATTATCAGGGGGTGAATGCCTCCCAAAAGCGCATCAGCCAGGATCATGGCGTCAGCATTTTGATGATAAATTACGATCATGCCAAAATCATTGAAAAATCATAGGAAAAACAAAGAAATTGGGCTTCTGTATGACCCTCCCTGTTCCCTGGTTATGATGCGCTACTGCTTATAACTTTTGGTACAACTGGCTTAAAACTTAAAATATTTTTTCAATAAGTTAAATATCAATATATTTATTGAAAAATAGCTAATATGTCAAAATAAGAAAACTTAAGATTCTCACGCGAATAGGCAATGTTTTTATGAGCGACTGTTCATCGTTAGTTGCAGACGACGGTAATATAAACAATTAAATCAAACATGGTCAAGGTCGAAAGCGTTTAAAACTCTTTGTCGACAAGTGGTTTCGCATTACATTACGATTCAATTTTTCTAATGTAAATATCGCGGAGAGTATTTACCCCCCCCCCGCTCTAAAACAAAACCCACCATTGTAATCCTCATAAAATAACCTTTCGAACGGGGGGTCAAGTGCTGTCAGAACATTACACAAACCGAAACAATCATATATTTACACTCACCGCTTCGCCAAACATTCAAAGGAGAAAAAGTTGAATATTTTCTAAACTTTTCGTCATTTTCTGAAAGGCTATATGTGTAAAATACTCTTTGTATTCAAGCGCTTTAGTGTAGAAAGTTTCGCATGAATACGACGAGTAGAAATATTTATTTTGAAATTTAAAAAGGTATCGGGTTTTACCACTGATCTGAAATAAGACTGGATAACGCATCTATAGTACACAAAAGTGAAGCCGAAAGTCACCGGCCGCCACCCGATTCTGGGGCCCCACTTTTGTATCGATTTGTATTACAGACGGTAGTTTTTCGCGTTTTTTGCCTTGGCTACGTTTCCGATCGGGCCAATTTTACAATCACAACGATAGAAGCATACAAGAAGAATTTTGAGCAAAAAAATTGGAGTATTATGGGTTTATAACGCCGCGAAACGGGATTTACAACTCTGAAGGAGTGGAGAGCTTCAGACTTTGTTTATCAACACGAGCTCATTTTGCTACTTTCATACAAAATCAACTCAAAATATACAAGAATTATTGTTACTGGACGAATATTCTCACGAAATTTGAAGAAATGAAGCAGCTACATTATGAACGAAAGCGTACAGAGCTTAGACTTTGTTTATCAACACGAGCTCGTTCGCTACTTTCACACAAAATCAACTTAAAATATACAAGAATTAATACTGTTTACTGGACGAATATTCTCAGGAAACTTGAAGAAATGAATCAGCTACATTGTGAACGAAAGCGTACTGAGGTTGGTTTTAAAATACCTTGAGGCTACTTTTATAATTATATACGAATTTAATAAGGAACAGTTTTAAATGTCAATTTTGTCAAAAGCATTCCTAGGCGACTTGTCGAGAAGTTTTATATGTTTTAAAGTAGGAAGACAAGTGACAATGAAATATTTTTAATCCAAATTATAAACAACGACTCAATATGTTATTTTAATTCATATAATTATGGAAGTAGCCTCGAAGTATTTTAAAACTAACCTCCGTACGCTTTCGTTCACAATGTAGCTGCTTCATTTCTTCAAATTGCGTGAGAATATTTGTCCAGTAACAATAATTCTTATATATTTTGAGTTGATTTTGTATGAAAGTAGCAAAACGAGCTCGTGTTGATAAACAAAGTCTGGGGCTCTCCACTCCTTCAGAGTTGTAAATCCCGTTTCGCGGCGTTATAAAGCCATAATACTCCAAAGTTTTTGCTCAAAAATCTTCTTGTATGCTTCTATCGTTGTGATTGTAAAATTTGCCCGATCGGAAACGTAGCCAAGGCAAGAAACGCGAAAAACTACCGTCTGTAATACAAATCTATACAAAAGTGGGGCCCCAGAATCGGGTGGCGGCCGGTGACTTCCGGCTTCAGTTTCGTATACTATATAGATGCGTTATCCAGTCTTATTTCAGATCAGTGGTTTACCAGAGAGGTTTTACTGTTTATTGAATTTTGCCTCAGGGGCCTCGTGGCCCTCTTTTCCATGTTTGCCTGTTCTAACATTGCAGGTGCATATCAAGGTTATATCCTCACGTCTCGAATGCTCATATATGTTTCTCTTTGAACTTGATACCAATCACAAACCTACATGTATCTGTAACCTCATTGTGCACGAAATGACCACATGGAAACGAGTGCAATAAGAAGTACAGCATGTTGGGCTACCTGAATAGCTTGGAGTCTTTGTAGCATGTATAACTAAATTGTAAAATTTTTATACGTTGACGGTTTTATTTGTTTCTAAATATTGAAAATTCGCGTCGTGTTATCGAATCACGTTCGGTCTGTGTGGACCTTTACAGTCAGCAATCTAGGTCTCCTATATCTATGGTGAAAACATAGCGAAGTTCAAAGCATCATGGACGATTTTCGACGTTATGCGCACAGAGGAGATACATACAGAGCTGTAACTGACCGTCGTACCCACTTGTTTTCAAGCGACCGAGCAAAAAAGTATCAACTGCGCGCGTGCTCGGCAAGTTCTGCGAGCAGTTAAAGCGAGTCGTCATGCAATAGGATTCGTCCATCTGGTATAACTTGCCGAGCACGCGCACAAAAAAGTGGGTACACTAGTTAAAACTCTGTACATGTATCTACTCTGTGTTATGCGCATGCGTGAGTAGAAGCTTCGGCTAAATAATTGTTTTTCATTTTGAACTGAACACGTATTTACAGCAATTAATTGTCTCTGTTTTTTAATTTCGCAAAATACAAAACGGTTTTTCTTTGATTTAACTGGAAATAAGCCTGCCATGCAGTTTCACGAATTAATGGCTGACTATTAACCTTGAAACAAAGAGTTTCTAATAATTGTTTTGATGTTGATGTTTTTAATACTTTAATCGCTCTTTTAAAATGGGTTTCCACCTTTGACGTCATTATCAGGGAAAACTCTGGGATGAATGTTGTTTTGACCGGTGAATCATAGGGGGTGCGTACCTCCATGTTGTTTTCTTTTGCTCGTAATACATTAAAAAATAAGCAGAAAAGATGAATGAATTTCAACTAATTTGGTGCCAGTACTAATGAAGATACGTTACAGCGTTGCCTTGATGAGATATTTTGGTGTGTACGTGATTATCAGTCCTCTGTTTTAAGAATTAAGTTTTCGGCAATTGCGGGAAAATTGTTATATTTCAAGAACGATGCAATTTACAATAAAATCACAAATGTTCTGCGCGCGGACTCAAGAGAAAACCTGACAAGCTAGAAATGTACAAATTGTTTCATTTCGTCCATTTAATGTTAGTGAAGAATGGCATTTAATATTTTTCTATTGCTTTTACCGTTCCGACGTTATTGCTGTTTTATTATGAAAATCACCAGTTTCCAGTTTCAGATTCCGAATCTGAAAATGAAATGGTTTGTCTGTTCCGACTGTTCGTCTCACTTGACTTTCAAAGACCGTAAATCGCTGCAATGTTGATATTGACATTTATATTTGTTACTAAAGCTATCGTTCCAAGTTAGGAGATATTGTTTCACTCAATCGAATGGTACATTTGTTTGTACCTAGCAACGGTTGTCAAGGAAGAGATAAATGTTAATTTCTTGAGCCAACCATTCACCGTTAAACATGACGTATTCGTCACCAAGCCCTGCATCACACGTCGATCACTCTTCCTATTCCCGTTCCACCGCTCAGTATATAAGCGCCCTGCTAATTTTATACACGAGTCGCCATTTCATAGTTAATTTAATTTAATCTGCGTTGATTTTCCATCGGAGATCATATTATATACATGTAACTACTTTATTACAACCCGGTCTGGGGTCTGGGTTATAAATTGGTGAAATAACTTTATTGTATTATGTTGTGTATTATTATAACTTGCACGGTATATTATTATTATTAGAATCTTCTGTAATTGTGCTACACCCATGTACTGTACTGGCATACGTCATAGCTACTCAGCTAGTGGCATACGTCATAGCTACTCAGCTAGTTCCGTTGGTCTGTGGCTGACTGTGGCCGTCTATGTCCTCGTAATTGCATGTATGACACTGCTAGGATTGTAATATGAAGGGTTGCTATGTGTCATAACACAAATTGCCAAAATAATATGAGGTGTGATATCCGCCAAAATTCATATATTCAATCATGCAATTGGAAATTGCATTTATGAAGTTCAGTTATGCTATTATGATATTCGATATTATGTTACTCGAATTCATTCGGCGTGAAACAGTCATTATTGAAATTTCATTCGGCGTGAAACAGTCATTCGGCATGGCACTCAGAAACCAAAATTCGACTTCCGGTTCGGCATGGCACTCAAAAACCAAAACTCGACTTCTGGTTTAGCGGGAAATTGTAATCCAACCATGACCAAAGTCGAAGGCAAGTTAAGTCAACAAGCTAGAAAGGAATATAAGTGTTGTAGACGTATTGGAAACAACTGTGTTGAGGAACTTAGACATCGGCGACAAGTATGCCCATACGGCGCAAAAAGATTTCTAAAATTCCCCAACACTCTTTCTGGATTTGATGTATTGACGGCAGTGCCGCACTGCCGCCAGATGATGTAGTAGCATGCGATTCGCTTTGAGAAATTACATTTGGACTCGCAACTTGTGCTGAAAAAACATTATTTGATGATCCAGGATAAATTCTCTGATCAATCTTGTTGCTTCTTGCAACAAAGAAAGTAAGAAACAGCACGCTGTTGACTTAAATTGCCTTCGCCTTCGGCCATGTTGAAATTACAATTCCCCGCGTGCTTTTCCCGCTAAACCGGAAGTCGAATTTTGGTTTCTGAGTGCCATGCCGAATGACTATTTCAATAATGACTGTTTTACGCCGAATGAAATTTCAATAATGACTGTTTCACGCCGAATGAAATTCGAATATCATAATATCGAATAGCATAACTGAACTTCATAAATGCAATTTCCAATGGCATAATTGAATATATGAATTTTGGCGGATATCACACCTCATAAAATAAAGCCTAGCGCACTGCGCACGTAATGCGATTTTAGTTAATTGATTTAAGGTGGCTCGATGCAGTTTTTCAAAAAATGGAAAATTCACGATTTAGATTCATATTTTTGGATAATTATCTTTAATATTGATTTAAAGTTTGTTCGTTCACGGCAAGCAGGTATATCAATCATGTTTTCACTCGCTGCTCTGGTTTATATAAATGAATACAAAGCCCAGTCGAATTGTAATCAGGACCCCCCGTTTCGATACTCCAGTCTAGTCATCTTCAATCATCAATGTGGCTTCTTAAATACGCAAGGAATAACGTCATCTGCCAATAAGATACATGTATTCCTCTGGCAAATAGACACCGTCCTGCCTCGTCCCCAGTCGCTTGCTATCAAATAATTGATTAGGAAAAAACGAAAATTACCATTTTCCTTTGCGCGCTCGTCCTTAGTTGCGGGCGTGCGCCTAAAGGCGGGCGTCTTTATCCGGCTTGCATTGCACGCGCTGATCTATATATTAGTGATATTTAAATTTGATCTATATAGAGGAGCCTGCGTAGGAGGCAGGGCACCGTCACCCTTATTATTATTATTTAATCTTATTTGGAAACGGTCACCCTTCTTGATCAGATCTATTAACATCTGATTTCCAAGGGGCCGTTTACAGTAATACAATAAAAAATATATAAAAAGACATTAAAGAACTAACCTAACACAATACAGGAGCTATTTACAAACAAATGACATAATTAGATTCTATGTACTGTTCGCACATTTCGTCTATTCGTAATTATAATCAGCTCGAGAGAATTGTTTTAATTGCCAAATAGAAACGTCATGTAATTTAGCGGCTTTTGGGAGGCTATTCCATAGACTTACGGCTGAATAACTTATGCTTTTTTTCATGAAATCTGTTTTAGGTTTTGGAAGTGCATAATTGACATTATTATTGCGTAGGTTGTAGTTGTCGTTTCTATTAATATGGAACATGCTAGATATGCTTTCTAGGAATTGCTAATTTTTAAATTTATGCATAAATACTATTTTCTGAGATCTCCTTCGTCCAGCTAATGGTTGCCAACCAAGTTCATTCAGCATATATATCACTTATTCTTGTATCGTACGGTTTCCCCGTAATTACTCTAGCTGCTCTATTTTGCATTTTCTGTAATTTATCTTGGAGGTAGACGCTACAGTTTTCCCAAACTAAACTGCAATAGTCAAAATAAGGCAGTACTATAGCCTTATAGACGTTTTCTAAAACTGTTGCCGGAACATATTTCTTAATACGACGTATCATTCCGATACCTTTTGAAGCCTTGCTAACTATGCTTTCGATCTGGTTTTTCCACGTTAATTGTTCATCGACAATTACACCTAGGGTTTTTGTACATTTTACCCTATTAATATTTGTTTCCCCAAGTTTTAATTCTTGTTCGTTTTCAATTTTGGCTACTCTCTGTCTAGACCCTATTATCATGTATTCGGTTTTTTCTTTATTAGGAGTTAACCTGTTGGCCAGCAACCATTGATGAACTCTTTCTAAGTCTACATTTAATTTAGTTATGACTTCATCACTTGTACCACCATTTGTCGTTAAGTTTGTGTCGTCAGCGAACATACTAGTAGACGAGTGCGAGAGACACCTTGGGAGATCATTTATGTATACTAGAAATAACAACGGTCCTAGGTTTGATCCCTGATGCACTCCGCATCTTATAGTATGTTCTCTTGACATGGTACGCTCAATTTTACATATTTGTGTTCTATTGGACAGATATGACTTACAGTAAACCATTTTAAGGTAATTGGGCTAGACCCATAGAGATATAGTTTCCTAAACAGTATATCGTGATCAACACAATCAAAGGCTTTCTTCAGGTCCAAAAATATTACACCATTCAAGCACCCATTGTCCATATTGATCAACCATTTGTTGGTAGCTTGAAGGAGCGATGATTGTGTTGAGTGATTCTTTCGGAAACCTGATTGTTCACCTGTGAGTATCTCATTGGATTCCCGATATTCAGACAATTGCATTGAAATGAGTTTCTCAAAGATTTTGGAAATTGCCGAGAGTATTGAAATTGGTCTATAGTTAGTACACTCTGTCTTATTTCCCGACTTGAAAATAGGTGAGATCACTGCAGTTTTCATATCATCAGGAAAGATACCAGTTTTAATAGATTGGTTAAAGATAGATCACTGCATATGATATGGTCAAAGCATGATCACTCATATTTACATGCCACGCTTCTATATGCATCGTCTTTGACCATAGTGATTGTTTGTTTTAATTACTTCACAATTTTCCCACGCAATCTTGTCTTATTGATGTAAAACAACACCTAAAGGCTAAAGGATCAAAACTTTTTCACAAAAGTTACGCAACTGCCGTTGCCATGGCAACAATGACGTTTCAAGATGGCGAAATAGTTTGGCTTTATTAAAGCAATTTAACTCGAAAAGACATCGTCGACCCCCACGCCCTCCAACCCACCCCCCTTAATTTTATCCATTTTATTCCATAAAATTATTGATATCATTTATTTTAGTAAACTGAGTTATTTTGACAATTTAAACAAAAATTTGTTGAGCCAGAAAGCATTATATATTTTGCACACAACTACAAAAAGATTACCATCGGGTGACACTTTTGAATCAGGAATTCTGTGGAGAGATCCGGAGGTCGTACTTCCGAACAATCGAAAGGTAGCAGAAGCGCAGCTACACGCACTCGAACGCCGCTTAGATCGTGATCCGCAGCTAAAGGAAGCTTATAAGGCATCCATCACCAATGACGTAGAGAAGGGATACATAAGGAAGCTAAATAAACATGAAGTACAGGCAACAGTCAGTAACTGAATAAACTACTTGACGCATCATCCCGTGAGAAACCCAAAGAAGCCGGTCAAAGTACGGCGCTTGTACAATGCGGCATCGAAATACGGTGGGAAGTCTTTAAACGACTTTATTTACATGGATCCATATCTCCTAAATCCGCTGTTTGGTGTGTTACTCAGGTTAAGACAAGGACGTATAGCACTATGCTCAGATATTAAAGACATGTTACTGCAGATGCGAGTAGTAGAAGAAGACCTTCCAGCACTACGGTTTCTGTACAGAGATTCGAAAGATGAAGAGCCAAGTGTATACCAATGTGTAAGAAGACCCTTTGGTGAACGCTCAGCAACCACCTGCGCCAATTACACAATGAAACGAAATGCGGTGGTCTTTCAACAGCAATACCCAACAGCTGCTGAAGCTGTGAGAAAGAATCTCTTACTGAATTCGCTAGATGATGAAGAAAAACCGTTGCCATACGTCAAGAACTGACCGAGTTTATGAAACACGGCGGTTTCACTCTCTAGATGTCTAGATGCGTTGATGCTATCGTGCATGTTAAGTTGTACCAAATGCATGCGCTATGTAAGAGCAGATCATGTGTATTAACAATATGATATCACGTACTGCAAGGCAGTATACGGACCAAATCTTGCAATTTCTGTAGGCATTTAAATTACCGTTATGTTTCTATTATTTAGGTTTATCACATCATGGAAATCAATGTATGTTATTTTGTATCAGCGTTCGATCATACTACTGATTGAACTAATGTATGTTGGAATAATTTTCCTTTGGACTCATACACGAATTTTGGATATAGACATATTTGAAGAACTTTCGGAAAGGCTTATTAATGAGGTTAAGAATAACTATCAAATGCTAGAGGAGGAAAACGCCACGCTACAACAAAAAATAGAGGAAAGGGACGAGTTGATAAAAGGAATGAAAATCGAATGTGATAGCCTTAAAATGGAAAATAGAAAACGTTTCGAAGAAAAACTATTGTTGGAAAACAAACTACAGCAGTTGAATGAAAGACATCAAAAGTTTGAAAAAAGATTACGAAGACAAACTACTTGAGTTTGGACGACTTTCTACTGAAAGCGATTCCAAAACAAACAAACCGACAAAAAAAGGAGAAATTTCAGAAAATATTTCCCCAAAAGCAATCGGCATCGTTAGTTTTAAATAAATTTGACCATTTAACCATAAATTCTGACGTTCAACCTAATATTGTTCAGTTCGAGGGTGAAAAGAAATTACCGCCTGCTTTGTCTTTGCCGTCTCCATCAGGAGAGCAATCTGTAGGCGCAGATGGAGAATTGTTGGAGTTAGCTACATGTCAGAACCAAGCTAGGTAGTCATGATCATGTAAGACCGAACATTGTCTCAAATGCTACAAATGAGAGTATTGAGGTTTCACCTGACTCAACGCCATTCCCCACGGTGGTACAGTATACGAAAGAAGTAATGCAGAGCCCTTGCATCTCTTAAACGAGCCTTCTTCATCAGTTAGTTACAATGCTTACAGACTATTATTACTAACGATATCTGATAGGTTGCTATACAGTGTTAGTATTTTTGCACAAGTGAACATAACAAATCCTACAAGTTGATTGGTCAAATTTGACGTATTAAGCCGTTATATTCACCTACAGGTGAATATAACAACCTACAGGAAAATATAACAAAACCGAAATTTTCAAAATGGCGGCTAGTCGTTTTGTGGACGTTATACTGATAAAGAAATAAGCGAAATTAAAATAAATTCAGTCCAAAAAAAAAACACAAAAATACTAAAACAATTATTTTCCTCAGGCTCGGTGATTATCGGGGAATATTCACCTCGACTTCGTCTCGGCGAATATTCACCTCGACTTCGTCTCGGCGAATATTCCCGATAATCACCTCGCCTTCGGCGATTAATATATTGTTAAATATTATCAAGCTTAAAGAATGAGCAAATGGAAAATTCACAGTCGACAGTAATTTAAATGCAGCTAAAGTTATTTTACAATTGGACCAAAAAGGTGCTATCAATGCATCGGATTTAGGTCATCTCCGTGTATTCTTCGAGTCTATTACAATATTTGATCTAGTATACACTATTGATGAATTTTATAATGGTGACTACGATAAGTTGAGGAAGTCAGTGATCAATCAACATAAGTCGAGAAATAATAGTCACGAACGAATGGCCAATTTAAATCAAGTACACTCATCTAGAGTTCTAGCTTCTACCACATAATAATACTCCAACATCTCCGTTAAGGTCAAGCACCGTTGACCGGGTGGGCAATGTTGAAGTATTTGAACGACCTAGTACAGCTGACGAGAACAATGGCGTATCCATTGTCAGGAATCGCCATGTTCCTCACTCAAATGCTGCTAGCACTTGAATGATTGAATGATCAAACTGCATGTAAAAATTAGAAGAACTTCGAACTTTTCTCGTTCCTATTCGTTAACATTTAGACGACACTTTGCTCCAATCAGTGGGGATATATTAGAAAGTAGTGTTTTTACCACCAAAATGAGGTTTAGTTAGATTAGACTGAAGTTTAGTCATCAGATTTCCTTAAGCATTTTCATTCACCTTTCATTGCATAATGAAATGACTTGGTGAGAGCAAGCTCATGCAATATAAGTGGTTATTTGAGCACTCTGGCACTATACAGCATTAACACGTCTTTAACACCCCATATTACACTCAGCGCATGTCTGGATGCGTTGATGTAATCGTGTCATACCACATGCCTTGGTGAGAGCAAGTTCATGGGATATAAATACCCATGCATCGCGTATCTAGACGTGTACCAATTAAGCTGCACTGTCGAGCTAGGCGTAGAACACCGAACAAAACAAAGTAAACTCAACAAAATAAAAAACACACTTCAACTACTATTCTTTGGGATTGTTTGCAACAATTACATATAGCGAAAAGAGGTGAAAGTGTACAATACAATAGAAATATGCTATTGCAAGCACGCAAATACAATACAAAGCATATCTTTCATAATTTTTAGACTATCAGAAATTCGTCAAAGTGAAGACATTTATATTGTGGTTTCTATAAATGTGTTTTTTCTTCTCTCCTTTTATCCAGAAATCGATGTCCAATATGTCGAGAAAGTTTCGCCCACAAACTTGAGAGACGCCCTGTTAGAACGGAGAAAAGATGAACATAGCTCATGGAAAATTATTATTAAAAATTCCAGGAGCATTGCTACCAATAAATGTATAGGGATGTTCAGATTTTGACATCCGCAACTCCTATACCGTTACCGGTTATTCTGCCACAGTCGTCGGAGCAAGTACATTTCGACTATAAGGTCGTGGGTTCGATTCTCTCGTCCTCCACTTATGTGAATCATGTGAAGAGAATCGTTCAACGCTCTGACAAAGTCGTGGGTCTTCTCTTGCTGCTCCGATATCGCCTCTAATCGGGAAATTGACAATGTAGGTTGGGATAAAAGTAGTATACAAAAGTGAAGGCGGAAGTCACCGGCCGCCACCCCATTCAAGGGTCCCACTTTTGTATAGATTTGTATTACAGATGGTAGTTTTTCGCGTTTTTTGCCTTGGCTACGTTTCTGACCCGGCCACAAAGCTGGCTACGTTTCTGACCGGGCCGAAGCATACAAGAAGAACTTTGAGCAGAAAATTTGGAGTATTATGGCTTTATAACGCCGAGGAAACGGGATTTACAATTTTGAAGGAGTGGAGAGCCTCAGACTTTGTTTATCAACACGAGCTCGTTTTGCTACTTTCATACCAAATCAACTCAAAATATACAGGAATTACTGTTACTGGACGAATATTCTCAGTAAATTTGAAAAAAAAAGCAGCTACATTGTGAACGAAAGCGTACAGAGGTTAGTTTTAAAATACCTTGAGACTACTTTTATAATTATATGAATTAAAATAACATTATATTGAGTTATTGTTCATTTGGATTAAAAAATATTTGATTGTCACTTGTTTTTCTACTTTCAAACATATAAAACTTCTCGACAAGTCGAGGGAATGCTTTTGACAAAGTTGACATTTAAAACTGCTCCTTAATTCGTATAATCATAAAAGCAGTCTCTGTTACTGGACGAATATTCTCAGTAAATTTGAAAAAAAAAGCAGCTACATTGTGAACGAAAGCGTACAGAGGTTAGTTTTAAAATACCTTGAGACTACTTTTATAATTATATGAATTAAAATAACATTATATTGAGTCATTGTTCATTTGGATTAAAAAATATTTGATTGTCACTTGTTTTTCTACTTTCAAACATATAAAACTTCTCGACAAGTCGAGGGAATGCTTTTGACAAAGTTGACATTTAAAACTGCTCCTTAATTCGTATAATCATAAAAGCAGTCTCAAGGTATTTTAAAACTAACCTAAGTACGCTTTCGTTCACAATTAATGTAGCTGCTTCATTTCTTCAAAATTTCCTGGGAATATTCGTCCTGCAGTAACAGTAATTCTTGTATATTTTGAGTTGATTTTGTATGAAAGTAACAAAACGAGCTCGTATTGATAAGGGAAGTCGGAGGCTCTCCACTCCTTCAAAATTGTAAATCCCGTTTCGCGGCGTTCTGCTCAAAACTCTTCTTGTATGCTTCTATCTTTGTGATTGTAAAACTGGCCCGGTCAAAACTACCATCTGTAATACAAATCTATACAAAAGTGGGACCCTTGAATCGGGTGGTGGCCGATGACTTGGAATAGGTTTAAGTAACTTGATGAACGATGAACAACAATATTGTTCAGTTTGTATTGTTAATCTGTATTCTTGATTTGGCGAAGCTATGTATGCACGACGATGAAGTGAAATCAATTGCGAGTTTTAAATCTGCTTGCCCAGTTACAGTTGTATCGTACGCAAAGGGGAATCCCTACGTGAGAAAATGTTTTCTGAAGCGAAGGATCAACTATACTGTAAAGTCGTCGGCTACGTTCAACCCGGCAATACTCATGCTGACGAGAAGTGGGATAAATCTAGTAAACCCCGGACCAGGACGGAGAATAATCGAGCAAGATAACTCGAATATTACAACAACGCCTGATTCCGCACATTCAACTCAACTAATAAACTCGGCGTCTTCTCCAAGTCTTGAGAAACCCTGGATAACTCATATGAATTGTAGAAGTATTATATCTCACATTGATGAACTACGGGTAACTTTTAAACATGATTCTCCGCAGTGCATTGCTATTACGGAGACTTGGCTGAATGATTCAATATTTGACTTCGAAGTCGACATTGCGGGATATACCGTACACCACCTCGACCGACAAAGTAGACGTAGGGGAGGAGGTGTTGCGTTCTACTTATCTAATGGTCTAAAATGTATCGTAGAAAAGACTTGGAGGAAAATTTTGAAGCAATCTGGATAGAAACTCGAATTCGGAATATTAAATATTTGCTCGGATGCGATTATAGGGCTCCAGACGAATCTTTAGAAATATTTGACTATATGGATGACACGCTTAGGTATGCTACACAAAACAATTATGAGACCATTATCCTCGGGGATTTAAATTGTGGAGAAGACCTTAAACATATTGATTCTTGGCTTGATCAGTACGGTCTGATAAGTAATCATAAGAAGACGGAAGTCATGGTTATAGGATCCAGATATTCAGTGGCTAACGCGCGTGATTTAAATGTTAAATTAAACGGGGAAATATTGAAACAGTCAGATCATTTTAGATACCTCGGTGTCGACATTGATAGCTGTTTGACATGGAAAAAACATGTATCGAATTTATCAGCGCGAATGTACCCTAAGCTCAAAATACTGAACCGAATATCGGCATTCCTTAGCTGTAAGACGTTATTAAGGATATATAAACAAACCATTTTACCAGTACTAGATTACGGCTATATGGTTTGGGCAGAATGCGGAAAGGGGAATTCGCAGCGGTTAGAGCGTCTGCAGAATCAAGCGATGCGTATTATACTATCAGCAAATTGCAAAACGTGCACGCAAGAAATGCGCACTAAACTGGGCTTATTGTCATTAAGCAGCAGAAGGCGCTTTCTTCGTTTGCAATTAGTATATAAAATTATATACAACATTGACTGTCCACAACAACTAATTGGTTATTTTATTAGAAGATCAGAAACGCACAATAGATCCCTGAGAGACACCACGTTGTTGTGCGTAATTCCAACCAAATCGAAAATGGGCGAGTCGTCATTTCAATGTTCGGCCGCGAAAGAATGGAACGCCTTGCCAAAACACTTACGAGACTTAAAGACTTTGTCCTCTTTTAAAAACAATATTTTTAAGTTTTTCTTAGAAACTGATGCTAGTAACTCTTACACTAAATATATATATATTTTTTAAACATTTTTTATATCTATTCTAGTATTGCATGTGGTGTGTTTTTTTTAGATAATATATAGTATTATGGATGTAAACTATTTATATATTAATGCTGGTCATCGGTTTATACCAGCTGATATTTTGTTAGCTGATCGGTTTTTACCAGTTTAAATAAAGAAGTTATTATTATTATTATTACTTCCGGCTTCACTTTTGTGTACTAAAGATGCGTTATCCAGTTCAGATCAGTGGAAAATACATGTATGCAGAAACCCTGTCCTCGTTCCCAGGGCTTCTTGGCTGCCTGCGTTGCCGTAAGCCCTGGGACAAGCCGAACCGGAACACCACAAATTCTGGTGTTTTCCGGAAGTAAACGTGCTTTGCAGCCGCTAAAAATGCTGTCTATGCATTAATTTTTACTGAGGAGTGGAGACGTGTTGGTGAGCAGAAAATATTTGATTTTCCTTTATTTGTTTTAATGTATTTTCCACCATCAAGGAAATACGTGCAGACCACCTAATGGAATTATATATATTGGGGTTTTATATTCCGTTATATCGTTAATATTCGTCAAAATACAATCATATTTCGGTCTCATATTACATGTATGATGTAAACATGATCGAGTCGAAATGTCAGTCGAAGTGATTGCTGTGATTCGAGTTTCGAAACATCATGGGCTCTTGTACAGATGAGATGACCTGTTTTAACACACGCTTGTAAAGTCACTTCAAAGACTGGACAAAGCCAAACTAGAAATTAAAGAGAAGCAGTCTGCAATACGAAGCTCTGTTGTAACAATAAATCACCTAACATTTCAACAAAATATAAATCATAGATATATGTCATGCATGACTCCATGAGTTTTGGATTTGAATTACTAGATTTACTGTATATATTATGTATACAAAATCATGCGTGCGTAATTTGAGCAAAAAAGCACAAGGTGTTTGGCCTCTCTCCTCCGCAGAGGCTTTAGTTTTCCTAGGACATTTCACTACACTTTACATGGCGGATCTTGGAACACGAGGTAACCGCTGGGCGAAGGAGCGCAGGCGGGAAAGGGAAAGGAGAAGGAAGGAAGGCGCGAAGCCTCTGCACGATGCCACACCCAATATGGCGGTAAACCGGGGGGGGGGAGGATAATTAACAAACGCAAAATTCAAGTCAAAATGGCTGCGAAAAATCTTAGTTCAACAAGCTCACAAAGAGATTATTTAATAGCTCTACGGAACAAGAAAGTGTTATGTCCAGTTTGTGACAAAACATCTGCAATTTTTTCTAGACAAGGTCTCCATATACATTATAAAACAATACATAAAAACAGCATATTTAGCGAACAGGTTTTGGTAGAAGGTGATGCTTTGGTTCGGCAATATGCAAGTCAAGAAAATGTCAAATATCATGGCTCTATCCGAGAGACGAAGAGAAGAAGTAAGTTAACATTGCTTGCTTAAATACTTGACGATAAGGAGATAAATTTATATTAAAATACAAATTTTTTTTACAGGGATCTTCTGGTGAATACAAGTTATTTAAATCGCCTGAAAGAAATAATGAGTCCATCGAGCTGAATTGTTCTAGCGATAAGGAAGCGGCGAAACTATTTGGTATGTACTTGGACCATAGACATCCTTTACCAAAATTGGAAGAATCAGATAAAGGAGTAAAGGTTCAAGTTTCGGGACAGAATATGACTTGCACTTACGAGTTATGGCATGCCAAAAACAAAATATATGCAGAGGCAATCTATTTTAAGTCGGTGAGTATTCATCTTCGTGTAGTTTGAATATTGTGCGCCTATTATATAAATATATTGGCTATATACATAATTTAATAGTTAACGTTTGATATTATATTTGTAGGAAGATATGTCGTTGTGTATTTTAAGATGTAAAATGGTCTGTAACTTTTCTTGAGTGAGTACTAGTGTTGTAGTCATATTCATGTTATATTCTGGTTACTTTTTGCAGAATTCTACTGTTACTTCGTTTCCTACTCCTACTGACAGTATTATAGAGAATTCATGTGAAAATCCAGTACATGTGCCAAATAACATAGAGGACAAAGAACATTTTATCCTAAAACAATTATACGGATTCGATTCCTTTAGAGAAGGACAATTAGAAGCTATTTCTTCAATTTCTCAAGGCAAAGACACACTTGTGTTGATACCAACTGGTGGTGGAAAAAGTGTGACATACACTATTGCTGGAATTCTCATGCAAGGTCTCTGTGTTGTGATTGAACCATTAAAATTTATAATGGAAGAACAAGCCGAGAAACTAAGGGCTAAGCAAATTCCTGCATTTTACTTTAACTCGTCGTTGACAGACACAGAAATGGATTATGTTGTGAATGCCATTTGTCGACAACAAGTTCCATATGTGATGCTCTTCACCAGTCCTGAATGTATTTTATCTAAAAGGCTTCAATATGTCCTTGAAATATGGAATAAAATTGGGCGACTGAGCTTTATTGCGGTGGACGAGGCACATTGCATTGACATGTGGGGACACGGTTTTCGACCAGATTTCCTGAAACTTGGCACCTTGAAAGATTACAGCGTCCCAATAATGGCTTTAACCGCTACTGTGACTGAAAGAGCACAATCGAAAATAATTTCAAGTTTGGACTTGCATGAACCTAACACTGTACAAGTTAAACATGCAAGAAAAAACTTATTTTTGAAGATCATTCCAAAGAAAGCACAACCAAAAAAACAGGTTGCTGATTTTATTAATGATAATTGTCCTGCTGAACGTGGTATTGTTTACTGTGCACGTCGAAAGGATGTTGTTGATTTAGCACATGAATTAAAAAAGGAAAACATTGACACAGTATTTGTCCATGGTGGAATGGCAGACATGGACAGAAAACAGCATGAACAAGCATGGGCATGTGGAAATGCTAATGTTATGTGTGCTACCAAATCTTTTGGGATGGGGATTGATAAGAAGGATGTGAGATTTGTTTTGCACTATTGTTTTCCTGACAGTATTGAAGACTATGCGCAAGAGATTGGTAGGGCAGGGAGAGATGGTCTACCAGCCCACTGTGTTTTGCTGTTTGCATATGCTGATAGGGCATTTCACTTGCATAATATTATGCAGATAGAAGATGATGAATATAAAACATACAAATATGAATTGATGAACAACATGGTGAAGTATTGTTCACAATCCTCTTGTCGTCACCAGTTCCTTCTGTCTTATTTTAATGAGGATTCACCAATATGTGAAGAGCATTGTGATTGTTGTACTTCAAGTCATGTATACACAACTGAAGATTGTACGGACAAGTCTCGTAGTATTGTCACAAGTTTGCAGAAATTACAACTTGTCATTGAAAATGTAAATGTTCTTACACTCATACAGTTTGTCATGGGTTCGTCAACAAATGCCTTAAAGGCTCTTTCACTGGACAACCATCCTGTGTTTGGTGTAGTGAAATTCAGTTTCCCAGGAAGAAATGGAAGGAAACAATTGGAAAAACTTATATATCACCTCATTATTACTGGAAAAATAAACGAAGTTCCAGCTGGTACTATTGACAGACCAAGTACACACATTGTTGTTGGTGATATGAATGCATTGCTTTCTGGGCATGAAGAGGTTTGGTGTTAAAAGCACTTTTTCCCATGCTTACAGGTTCAACCATATACTCAATAACTCATTATGTCAGTCGCAGTTTGAGTGATGTTAACTAGTCAGATATGTTTAGTAAAAAAAGTCCAGATTGAACTTTTTCAATTTGATGATTTGTTATTGGCTATCACACTGCAATAACATCACTCAAATGCTAACTGTGTGCTTTTAATATTTAATACAGGGCCATTCCTACATGCGATAATTGGGGCGGGGAGGCGTATATTCATGTTCACATACTGTAAAAATAATCACTTTCAAAAGGAAATCCGTACAGAATACGAATATATGAATATACCGCCCCCCCCCCAAATTATCGTGCTAGAAATGGCCCTGATTTAATATAGAGGTTCAGAATTGACTTTTGCCACTGGTACCACTTCCTTTCTCTGGCTTATTACTAATCTGATTGTTTAATCGGATATATAAAATGGGTCTGATTGGTTAATGGTTGTTTAATGATAGTGGTATCCAGTGTGGAACTCAAATCTGAGCCTCACTGTTTCAATCAAGCCACATGTTTTGTACAAATTATATGGCTAAAAACGTTGTTGCAATAGTTGATGAAAACAGGATTGAACAATGTTTTGCTGCCCAAAAGCATCGTCTTCTACCAAAACCTGTTCGCTAAATATGCTGTTTTTATGTATTGTTTTATAATGTAGATGGAGACCTTGTCTAGGAAAAATAGTAGATGTTTTGTCACAAACTGGACATAACACTTTCTTATTCCATAGAGCTATTAAATAATCTCTTTGTGAGCTTGTTAAAGTAATAGTTTTTTTTGCATTTGATAATTATCCTCCCCCCAGGTTTACCGCCGTATTGGGTGTGGCATCATGCAGAGGCTTCGTGCCTTTACCTTTTCCCGCCAGTGCTCCTTCGCCCAACGGCTCCGTTCATGTTCCAAGATCCACCATGTAAAGTGTAGTGAAATGTATCTCATCGTAATAAATCCTAAGAAAACTAAAGCCTCTGCAGAGGAGAATTTCAATACTAATTGTAATCATAGCCAACTAAAACATCTGTGGAGGAGAGAGCCCCTTGTGAAAATATGTAAGTTTTGATCAAACACCCCCATATCACTCAAAGAGTCACATACTTGTATTTTATAAATAGCCCCATAACATTTTACTAATTATGCACAACCACCATACAAGTTTATAACAATGTATATGTATGTTTACATGTAAATTGTTCAATTTTAAATATTTTCAGAAAATTCTTTTTTGCATATGAGAGATTCATTCTTAAACTTTCTAAGTATGTAAATCAACACAAAATATATGTTTAGGACCTTCTATGGTGTTCTGTAACCTTAACTCTATTACCTGTATAAAGCCTAATCTTTACACAACAATTCAAACCTTAAATCTGGAAAGCAGTCATACAGTTTTGACTTAAAATTGTCTTTTAGTTTAGCTTTTCCTTTCTCCTCCACATCAACATAGCATTGTGATACTTTTCCTTCCATCTTTCCTTGACCATCAACGAGATAACCAGGGCAGCCATCAGTTTCTTTGATGAGATCAAGCCATCCATTATGCAAGCAAAACCAGGCACCCTTCAACTGATCACGGAACGAATCTGCAACAGCATGATGCGAAGTTGGGTGCACATCGAACGCATCTCTTGAGGTGTATGCACTGCGTGTCTGTTTCAAAAGGTCTATTGAACCCATAAGTTTTTGGCACATTTTGACTGATGTATGACCTATTGACAAAAAATGTACTGTAGACACTGACATTTAATAAGTACCGTATTTACTCGATTGAGCGCCGCCCACGAATGAGCCCCGCATTTGAGATCAATTTTTTTTAAATAGCACTACACCGCCCCCAAATGAGCGCCGCACTAAACTTTCCGCCGTCAAAATGGTGACATTTAGTGACAAAGACATTTAAAACTTGTTTATTTTATTGTTAAAAGTTCTTGTTATAATTCACAAATAAAAGATTTTTTAAAGAGCGCCGCCCTCGATTGAGCGCCGCCCCCGAATGAGCGCCGCATCTGAAGCTCTGAAAATTTAAAGAGCGCCGCGGCGCTTAAACGAGTAAATACGGTAGACCTTATGCAAAACAACGACTCTTTGTGGTGCATGAATACTACTATCAGAATGCTTTGCAAGTATTGTGTCTTCAATTCTTTTACATTGGGATTCTTGCAAGATATTCTGGTAGCTGCAGAAACACCCTGCAATAGATATCTTCATGCGTCTGGGCAATTACACTTAGTCTGCTATCTTTCCCTATAATATTTCCTCACACGATCACATCATCACTGGCTTCGTGCATGTATAATAAAACAGCTATAGTCCTCACAACCATTAGTTGGAAGACCTTAAGGTCATGATTACACCCCCTTTCAGCAAACAAATAATTAGTATTACAGATCCAGGAAGTTAATTTAAAAATTATGATATATAGCAAAATTATACCTGATACATATGTCTTCAATGGCTGAACAATTTCAGCCTCCACAAAAGCATCCAATTCAATTCCTTTACTCTTCTTGCCATCAATGTTGACACAGCAATTTTGTTGAAGCATTCTTCGGAATGACAACTGGGGCCACTTACCCAAGAAATTCACTATGTGAATGAAGCATTCTGAAGAATAGTTGCGAAAGTTTAATTGGGCATAAACCGGAAGCTGTTGAATGTAACAAGTCTCTCTTGCTAACCCCCAACCATTATTAGTTGCCAAATCAAACAGTTCAAACAAAGGCCCATAAAATAAAAACATTCTGCTCCTATACTTGAAGGCTTCACTCATAGATGATGAAGTTTCAATCCATAACTTGAATTGGGTCAAAAGGATTTTCGTATGATCCCCATACGAACGTTTGCAATTTGTTAGCATTTTCGAATTGGGAAAAAATTCGGATTCTTTGAATTCCATCACAGCAGCTAATCCGTATGCTCTTGCTCCATCTTTAACACCTTCTCTGATTCGACTGAGATTACCCTCTGCAAATTTCTTCTTTTTAAATGCCTCTGTTGTTATTCTTGGCCTCTTCATTACTTTGTGGACTAGGTAATGAAACCCACCAGGGCCTTGCTCTTTATAACATGCTTCCGCAAGGTAGCCCTTTGTATGTAGAATCACCGGGTATTATACCAACCCAATCATGACAGCGCGATCTGGACATTACACCTCTATTAGTCTTACATGTGCCCACATCACCCACCATACCAGTGATGAATCCAGGCGAGGCCCTTGTATATTGAGTACTTTTTGCAACTGGTGCCGTTTCATGAACTTTAGATTGATTACTGCAGTGGAAAATTGGATCATAGTATTGCAATTCATCGTCTTCCCCATCTGACTCTGTCGGATTAAGAATGTCTAATATTTCTGGCAAATCCATCTTTGTTGCAATCACTATAGGACTTGGCACATTTGTAAACAACGGACCTCTCGTGCTCGCCCTTGCATTTACCAATAACTGGCACAAGTCTTTACTTTTAAGGAGGACAGCAATAACCAGAGGAGTAATGCCACATTTTTCCCTTGCATTTGGGTTGCATCCAGCATTGATCATGCATCTGACAAAGTTAATGTTCAGTTTTTCCACAGCTACATGAAACAGTGTCCTTCCTAAGTGATCCCTTGCATTCTGAATGTATGGTTTTTCTGCCAGTTCTTTTAAAAATCGCTCAAGTCTGTCACTTTCAATGGCCTTCTTCATTTGGTCTGTCAATGAGTCATAAGTACTTTTGAACAAATAATCTTCCCTTTCAAACAATTTTTGCATTTTTGTTACAGTTGTGTCAGATCTGTATTCTTGCTCTGTGTGTGGAATAACTCCACCATTATCATTATCATCATCATCATCAACATTTTGGTTATCACCAGCATCAAAATCTCCATCATCACCGATAATTTTGCCATCCATGCAATCATCATTTATCTCAGCATTATTAAGCAACTCATTTTTTTGGTGCTTCTCACTTGTATGGTGATTCATCATCTCAATAAACTCAATATGTTCACGTGCTTGCTTAATACTAAATGTCTTATGGTTAGTGTCAAATGGAAGAATTTCTGAGTGAGAGGTTTTGGGAATAGAAAATTCTGAGGCAAACTGGTCCAAGATAGCACATGAACCAGCAAGAGTGCTGTTGTTCTCCAATATCAATGGCATAATAATAGTGTCCGTTTTTCTGGTTGACTGAGATATGTCGATGTACGAATGGTTTGGACAAACGCTGACATTGTTTGATATACTATAAGATTGGGTCGAGAGACAGTGATCACATTCTTTTTCAGACATGTCTTTCAATGACATTTCTGTATTCAGTGTAAGTCCATCTTTTAGAAGTGTTGACAAATAGCAATCAAGATGAGCATTCCAAATATTTAAATGATCAGGGTTGTTTTCAAGTATGATATTATCGAATGTAAATTTCTTTACATCATGTTGACTATCACTTGCGGTCTCCTTGGAGGAGAACAATTTTTCTAAGCCATTAACACAAGGACGTACAAGGCCTCTTACAGTAAAGTTCCACATACTGTCTCCATAGTCTTTAAAAAGCCTATGATGTTGTTTATTGCCTCGAAAAATATTTAAATTGTCCATAAGGAGTATTAGTGGCATATCATTAGGTGTTAACATCTTCACTCTGGATATTTTTCCTTTAAGTTGGGATTCAAGAAAGTTAGATAGTGTGTCCCAATGTACTGTAAGTCCACATTTATTTAGGTTATTGATCATCCAACACCCAGCCCCATAGGAAACAAGCAATATTGTAAACATCATGAAAATATCATTTTTTAAGCTTTGATTTCTTACACTTGACAGCAGTGACAAAGCATGCACAGCACAGTTGGACTTTCGGTTGCTGTCCTGAGATTCAGGAAACAGGCTAGCAACAATATCTGCAAGAACAGGGCATTCTTTTTTAAAATCTCTCCTAATATCATTTATAGTATTAATCGTGATTACATCCTCTGATTGTTTATCTCCACTCCGAATACCAATGTTGAGAATATTTGATAGATTCTGAAATTCCCCAACAATAGTTTCCCTTGTAGACGCTGGCAATTTACCCTCTGATTTCCTGTCTAACAATAGTTTCATCTCCCGTTCATATATGCAGTCGATAGAATATTGCAAAGTTGACACATTTTTAGTTTCATCATTATACATGCTAATAAGAGTTTGCAGATAAATGTTATCAGTAACAGACGAATTTGCAACGATTTCATCCATTAACATTTTTGCCTTCTGCTTATGCATTACCAAATGTTTTTGCAGATTGTCAACTTCTGTGTTGTCAACCACTTGTAACCCTGATCCTTTATCTTCGTTGTCAAAAGAAATAGATCTACGTAAATTTCTATATCCCCCCCCCCCTTCGTTTATCAAATTCAACAGTTGGAAATGCTGACTTCACTGTTCTTGTTGTTATAGTTTTACTGTCTGTTCCTAACATTTTCATAACATCAGACCTGTCAATTCTTCTACCAGGACTTTCTGCTAACATCTCATGTAATTTTGACAACATTTGCTCATTCTTAGGCCTAACTGTTTTATTTGCGTGCTTTCGTTTTGAAGGTGGTTTAAATTGGCTGGTTGATGGCTGGATCTGCAACGTTTACTATTCTTTACAGGTGTACTTGTAAGTGGTGTACCAGCATGAGATGAACTACCCAAATGTTCTTAATAAAAATAAAATAATAAATTTCCTATTGTTATTATCGGTCTATTGATGTGTATTTGCACCACATAATTCTTACTTCTTTAGTGTCTATATATATATATATATATATATATATATATATATATATATATATATATATATATATATATATATATATATATATATATATATATACGAGTATGTTTATGATATTTAGCATTTACATACAGCACAAATTCCAGTCCACTTGCTACTGTACTATACTGTACTGTAGCTTGACGACTTAGCTCGGTTGGCAAAGTGTCAGGCCGATGCAATTTGAAGATCGCTAGTTCAAGGCTATCCGTTGTAAAGCAGTATTTTCTGCTTACCTGGGATGGACACATCATTTGAGAACATTTTATATGATAAATATATATGAAATTGTATGAATTTCTTCACACATATGATAACAATATTTATTATTAATTTCCAATTGTTGCACAGGTCAAGGCTTCATCAGAGACCACTTTTGAAAGACGTTTGATTTAAAAGTAGTATAAAAAAGCAACGGTGATTGAGTTCTCCGCCACGCGTAGTATAGTTTGAAAACGGCGTAGAAAAGTAACAATTACCGTCACGTTCACACTACGCCGGAGCGAAATTATTTGAAAACGTCACTTTTGCCGTAACAATGTGAGTTCTAAACGGATCGAAATGAAAACGGAGCACTTAACGGCTTCGTGTAAACACAAACGCCTTACTAGTGTTTTGCTTGCAAATCAATCATCTCGGGTCTCAAAACAGTAAACTCGAATGCTTTGAAATATTTTGGGTTTACATCAGGGCTAATTTAATTTGTAAACAAAATGCAATAGCGTGTAGTGTGAACATAGACTGAACATACGTGAATTCTGCCTGCATTATTTCGCTACGCGTAATGTGAACGTAGTCTAATTTTCTAGATGCGGCGGTTTCAAACGACGACACGTAGCCTTTAGAAAAATTTAGAAACAATGTCTGAAGGGGCGGGGGTAAATTTGGACTTTAACATTAGGAGAGGGAGAGAATGAACCATTCAAGTATGTCAGGGGGGGGGGGTCTTTTCTATTTCCTCTGAGTGGGGACATCTTTTCTAGAATGACCCATTACTTTCCTCAATTTTACATTATTATTGTGGTAATAGTTAAAAGAAAATTACTTCATTTTGTTTCAAGGCCCAACCATTATTTCATTCCTACAACTTGCAAAACAGGATGTAAAAATTCCATGACCCATACCCCAACCATTCTCTGTGTTAATCATACAATATACAGTAAATAAAGATAACACAAAGGTAACCTATGAAAAATTGATGAATTCAACTATGTTAACCAATTGGCCATTCCATTTAATATCCACCCTCCCCCATGGATGAACTTTTCTGAGGGAAACAAATTTCAAATTTCTGAGGTGTCTAAGTGTGTTGGCATCCTTTGATCTTCAAAAATTTTCAAAAACGAAATTAAATGTTGTAAAATGTGGAAAATATAACCTTGAAAAGTTTGCAAATTTCGTATGTACTTTTCAAAAATTGCAGCAATTTCTGCACGCAATACAAAAGTATACAAAATTTGCAAACTTTGCAAGGCTATATTTTCCGTATTTTACAATATTTCGCAACCAAACTTTGCAATTTTACTCATTTTAGTATGCTCTTTCTAGCTGTTGTGATTTATTTGCATCTCTATGCCTAGTTTTAAAATTAGTCTATAATGGGAATTGTCTATTCAGTCAAAAATAGATGAGGTTTTTTTTAATTATTCATTATTCATTAATACATTATTTTAAGATTTAGAAATATGTCCAAAACCCCGTAAAAGAAAAAAAATGAATATATATACAGAACCATTATTAAATCGATTATCAAAACTGAAAATACCATTTAAACTATTTCAGATTCAGCATGCAATATTTATAAACAAACGTGACCTTGTCTAGATTTCATTCTGAACATACTTTTAATGATTGTTTCTGTGTTGGTGTAATCAGTGTACTCAGGTGAATATGATGCTTGTGATGTTACTCTGAATGTTTATCCACACCGGGCAAGCTTGAAAATATGCCTGACCACGGCGGGAATCGAACCTACGACCTTTGGAATGCTAGCCCAATGCTCTGCCAACTGAGCTACGCGGTCTGGTCGGTTCGAGTATGTGATATTTCGGAACAGAATCTAGTTCCTTCGATATCAATGTAATCTAATAATCATGATTGTTTCTGTGTTGGTGTAATGTACTCAGGTGAATATGATGCTTGTAATATCAAGCATCTATATCACTACCCGCAGCTACAATAAATACGACCCTGATTTGTTCGCGATCGATCTGGCATCCAACCGTGATCGTCTTGTTTCCATTTTCAGAATGGACAATGTTGATGAAAAACTAACCATTTTTAATGAAATATTTTTAAATACATTGGATAAACACGCCCCAGTAAAGACCATAAAAGTACGCGGAAATTCTTGCCCATTTATCACCCCGGAAATAAAAGCATCCATGATCAAAAGAGACCAGCTCCACAGTCTTTTCAGGAAAACACGTGATCATTATGATTGGCTTAATTTCAGAGAGGCCCGCAATTTTACAAAAACAGCACGTGTTAATGCACAGAAAGAATATGTACTGAAGGAAGTTCAGCAACACAGAAACAATACTGGGTCACTTTGGAAGGTAATTAAAGAAAATATAGCGTATAGGGAAAGAGAGTCAGTGGTCCACAGTAAGGAACCGAAATTAGTGGCCGAAGAGTTTAATCATTTCTTTTCCACCATCGGTGTGAATGCAGCAAAGAAAGCCTCAACACTAATACAAGATCCTAGTGTTTATCCAGCTCGGAATCTTTCTGACGTAAATCGCACAGATAACAGCTACCCTGAAGAAAATGATAGATTTAGTTTCACCCCAGTCTCTTGTTCAGAAATAAGGAACATCATATTAGCTATGCCGTCAAACAAATCACCCGGCAAAGACAAAGTGAGTATGCGTGTCATCAAACACAGCCTACCGGTAATTCTTGGGCCCCTCACCGATATCATTAACTGTTCACTATCGTCATCTTCGTTCCCTATAGCATGGAAAGAGGCAGAAGTTATCCCTTTGTTAAAGGATGGAAACCACGAGGAAGCATCAAATAACCGCCCACTTTCTCTCCTTACCTTTCTTTCGAAAATTTGTGAAAAAATCGCCTTGAATCAATTTGGTTCGTATCTAATGAAGAACAAAAAATTGTCAACCCACCAGAGCGGGAACAAGAAACATCACTCATGCGAAACATTGAAATCTTTTGACCGGAGATACTATCCTAAAGGCCATGGATGGGAAATTGGTTACTGCACTGATTCTAATAGATCTATCTAAAGCTTTCGACAGTGCAAATCATACTTTTCTCCTAACAAAACTTAGCAACGTCGGGGCTTCTCCAAGCGTTGTAAAATGGTTTGAGAGTTACTTGACCGGAAGAACTCAATCAGTCAGAATTGGATCAACTGTGTCTACTCCTCTCCCTGTTTCTTATGGTGTACCACAGGTGCAATTTTATCACCTTTACTTTTTAGTATTTATACTAACGATCTGCCCAGCCTAGACCTAGGCCTTCTAGTCTTATTTATATTTTTTAGTATTCAGCGGTTTTTCACATGAAAAGACTGGGACTAGGTGATTTGGGGGCGGGGCGGAGGAAGCAAGCCTAGAAGGCCTAGTTGATTTCCCAACAACAAGGCCAAAACTGCCCTGAAACTGCCCTGGTTGCGAAATGCCCAATTATTGCGTTCTCAAACAGAATTATTTGCAACTTAACGGCGAATTTAAACCGATACAGGTAAAATAAACTCATTTATAGTATAAACTTACTATTTTTATTTGTATACACGTCTAGGAAATCGGTTTTTTATCATAAAGTTCGAAGCAACACTATTATTTAATATGTTGACAAGGTGTAGCGAAAGAACAAAATGAGTCAAAATATATACCAAAAGTAGAATCTTTCATGAAATTTTGTCTTATACACAAGTACATTAATATATATTTTCTCAATTTTGGCAAGAAGCAGTCTTGTGTTTGTAAAATATACAAAATAAAACGGATACATATATTATTAGCCCGTACAGTACTGTATATAAAAACGTACATTGTTTATACAAATGGTATATCTGTAATATTTGAACACTAATTTCAAATTCCTCATTCCCAATTCGCAAATATAGTATTCAAAGCAAAACAGTAGATTGTCTTGCGAATAAAAGAATTATTATTTTGTGCCGTTTCGCTACACCTTGTCAACATATATAAATAGTGTTGTTTCAAACTTTATGATAAAAAACCCGATTTTCTAGACGTGTATACAAATAAAAATAGTAAGTTTATACTATAAATGAGTCTATTTTACCTGTATCGGTTTAAATTCGCTGTTAAGTTGCAAATAATTCTGTTTGAGAACGCAACAATTGGGCATTTCGCAATCAGGGCAGTTTCAGGGCAGTTTTGGCCTTGTTGTTGGGAAATCCACTAGGCCTTCTATATTTTCGCTTGCGTCAGGCTTGTGTCCTTCCTCCGCCCCGCCCCCAAATTACCTAGTCCCAGTCTTTTCATGTGAAAAAGCGCTGAATATTAAAAAAATATAAATAAAAATAGAAGGCCTAGGTCTAGGCTGCGATCTGCCCTCATCAGTCCACCATAGTAAACTTGAATCGTACGTGGACGACTCCAAGATATTACTATCTTTCACTGTGGCTAACGTGGACTGTTTAAAGCAACAACTTGAGGAAGACTTGTATTTGATTGCAAACAGTTGTTCCGAAAATGAATTGCTTATTAACCCGGGAAAGACCAAATACATGCTGATTGGCACACGGCAAAACCTACAACAACTTCCCGAAGATATGACCATAAACTTCCTCAACGAAACTATTACCCCCGTCTCCTTTGCCAAAGATCTAGGAATGACAATCGACTCTTATTTGACATATGACCAGCACATCACCAACCTGATTTCCTCATGTATGAATTCCCTGTGCCAAATAAACCGAGTCAAAAAATGTTTCGATAAAGAAGCTTTAACTCTCATCGTCTCGGCACTTGTAATGAACAAAATGTTCTATTGTTCAACGGTTTGGTCAAACACTTCGTCTACCAACATTAAGAAACTACAGTTGGTACAAAATTTTGCATGCAGGATAATAACAAATATTGGAAAGTTCGACCATATTTCGCCGGGCTTACGCGAACTTAACTGGCTCCCAGTAAAGGAACAATTACTACTAAGAGAGGCTATTATGATGTACAAATGTGTCAATGAACTTGCTCCACATTATTTGAGCGATTTATTCACAAAACGTTCTGACATTCATCAACGAGATACACGTAGCCATGACTCACTGCAAATACCATTGTACAAAACTTCTGCAGGTCAAAGGTCCTTTCATTATAGAGGCGTTACACTCTGGAATGATGTGGACATAAAGTGCAAAAAGTTAGACTCCCTAAAAACTTTCAAAAACGAACTGAAGCGAAGCATGCTAGAACAAATATATAAGTAGATAATTTTACCTTGTTAAACTTTATACAAATGTCTTACCTTTTTACCTTAATTTAAATTCTAGATTCTAAAACTTGTAAATAGAACAACATTTATTTTTTGTAAATCAGTGTTGAAAATCCCTATTTAGGGAACACAATAAAGTATGTATGTATGTATGTATGTATGTGATGTTACTCTGAGTGTTTATCCACACCGGGCAAGCTTGAAAATATGCCTGACCACAGTGGGAATCGAACCTACGACCTTTGGAATGCTAACCGAACCGCCGCCGGACCGACCAGACCGCGTAGCTCAGTTGGCAGAGCATTGGGCTAGCATTCCAAAGGTCGTAGGTTCGATTCCCACCGTGGTCAGGCATATTTTCAAGCTTGCCCGATGTGGATAAACACTCAGAGTAACATCACAAGCATCATACTTTTAGTTTTGCCAAGCGAGTTTAAATCCTTAAAGAAAATCTTATTGCTTTTCACCATCCACTGATCCACAAAATGCAAGCAATTAATATAGTAAATGATTGTCAAGGTGGTCAATCAATCATGCATTAAATTATATTATTTTATTTTCAAAAAGGCTATGTTATTTAGACTAAAAAATACTGTCTTGTTTCAAAATCGTTTTAAATGGTCGACATGACCAAAAGAAAATAAACAATGTTTTTCTATAACGTTACTGTGCCTACGAAGTGTAGTTTTGCCATACAGGTAGACTTCGCCTTTTATAATAGATCACTTATGCGATGAATTATAGTTTAAAGACTATAGTATATAGAATTGTTAAAATATTGAAAATGTTTGAAATAAGTTTTTTTTGGCGGCAGTATTTTCTACATTTCGGCATTAGTCTTATTTAATATACGTCCATTTCTTTTATATTTCGTTCAATATGGGCTCATAATAGTATGATATAATATTATCTGTGTTATATCAGTTACACAATTATCATAAAAGTTACTGTATATAATTTTAAAAATCGTTTTAAATGGTCGCCATGACCAAAAGAAAATAAACAATGTTTTCCTATAACGTTACTGTGCCTACGAAGTGAAGTTTTGCCATACAGGTAGACTTCGCCTTTTATAACAGATCACTTATGCGATGAATTATAGTTTAAAGACTAGTATACAGAATTTTTAAAATATTGAAAATGTTTGAAATAAGTTTTTTTTGGCGGCAGCATTTTGTACATTTCGGCATTAGTCTTATTTAATATACGTCTATTTCTTTTATATTTCGTTTAATATGGGCTCATAATAGTATAATATAATATATAATATTATCTGTGTTTTATCAGTTACACAATTATTATAAAAGTTACTGTATATAATTTTATAGTGATATTCTTGTCTACAAAGCCTAACAAAAAAAGTTAAAAAACAGCATAAAAAAGAATAAATCGTCTGTGAACTATAATAAAACCGTACCTTCAAAGTCTTCCAGTGACAAGTTATTAAGTGACACGTTTAGTTTGTCTAGATCGCTTGCTTCTCCGGAATTTGACATTGTACTAAGAAATTTAAAGTTGTTTTTGTCGATGTCCCACTTTGTCCCACTTTGCGATGCAAATCGTGCAGAGGCTTCGCGCCTTCCTTCGCCTTTCCCTTTCCCGCCTGCGCTCCTTCGACCAGTGGTTACGCTCGTGTTCCAAGATCCGCCATGTAAAGTGTAGTGAAATGTCCTAGGAAAACTAAAGCCTCTGCGGAGGAGAGAGGTGTTTGGCCATATGCCCACCATGTAGTATGAATATTGAACCCCGTTTTATACAATACGTTTAAAACTTTATTTCCATGCTGGATAACCTGAATCCTTCACCGATTACATGTGTAGCAAATGACGAAACATAATAGTTATGTAAAATAATTAACCTAAGGGAGCAGTCATTATTAATGCCGGGGGTGGGCCGGAAGATATTGGGGGGGACACCAAAAATGTATTAACCACTTGGGGGGGGGGTAGGGTACCAAAATATCAAAGAAAGTAGGGGGCACCAAAAATACTGTACAATAATCATAAAATATCAGTAATTATTCACTGTAATATAAATGTCAATGCTATATAAGTATTTATAAAAAAATTAATAACCTTTTAATAACGCCGGCTGCACTGATTGGTTGAAAAGCGAAAAATCCCGTGTTTCTGTAACGCTATATATAGAACACAGGAATTTTCCACGAACCTCAAAACAACACACTAAAACAAACGTTTTCGCCTGAAATATCGATTAAAATCTTGGTTAACCTGAAATTTTGGTAAACAAGCAATGGATAACACTTACCAAATGTTTTTTCGCTTTAAATTTTCTTTAAATCAACTTTTCCAGCTTGTTTTTTTCCATAATTTTGCAGTCGGCAAAACTGAAAATTGATGCCGGTATTGTTGCTAGGCAACATTTTCTTGTTATTGTGTAATGAGAATATACTTTTTAATCGCGTTAAAAAATTTTGTTTTTGTGTTATTATCACAAGGTTATTTAATAAAGGAAATAGAAAACATTTTTTCCTGTGTTTCTATAGAGTTATAGAAACACTTGTGCTAGTTTGGGAGAACTCGTAATAACGTGGAATTGATTATTTCTCGTTCTCCCAAACTAGCACGCGTGTTTCTATAACTCTATAGAAACACGGAAAATGTTTTCTATTTCTTAAAGGTAATTACACGTGAAGGAGTGCAAATAATGATTAACATTACGAGTGATATTTGAAAATGTGCCAAAATTGCACAAGCCGTTAATCATTCATTGCACGACTTGCCCGTGTCGGCCGTGTGATTATTTATTTATTTTATGCATGACAAAATCGCTTTCTTTAAAATTCAACTTTATTTTGTCAAGAGTTTTTATTCTTTTGTAAGCAATTTGGCATGAACAAACTTGGGAAATAATCATAAGCTCATAAAAGCACATTAAACTAGGACAAATGATTCAAACTCAAATAACATATTTTTAGAGTAAGAAAATCTTTATATAAAATTGTATTACGACTTACATAGTCACGTTTCCCTGCATCTCGCCGAGATTATTTCTTAAAACTGTTTCCAGGTATTTTCCACAGGCCCTTTTGCCATACTATGTTTTTTAATCTCATTCTTGTTCTAAAATGTAGTTAAATTCGTCCACGTGCCATTTATACAAGACAAATTTCGCCGCCATATTGGACTTTTGTTGTTTTGATTTCCCGCTCCCCCCAGCCATCATGAAACTCATTATTCATTAATTGCACCCACTGAGCTATATTGCACCACAGCGGCCCAATCTCGCAAGGGTCAGTACATACTTTATATACCAGAACCATCGAGTGCAAAGTCTCGGAAAATATTAGTCCAACAAAAGAGGAATAAAAGGAGAACACACACTATCATTTTAAAATTTATATTTTATGACCTATATTTTTACTATAATATACATTACTATATAGCCTGCGAACAGGCTCTCAAGCTGAATTGAGAGCCTGCATCGATGACTAATGAATTTGAATATCTGCGTCTCAAATCGTGACGCGAAATTCTCATTGGTCAGATGCTATAATTTATATGTTTCCGCTGAGCTCTATGTATGTCAACTGCTGAAGCACTATGCATAAAAAACACATTAACTGATCAAATTGGTCTTGGCCATGTTATCTCAAAGCACGAGATGTTCTGTTTTGAGAAAACAGTATTTAAAACATTTAAACTTTTGCTTGAATATCTTATATTTCGAAAAACAGTATAAACTGTACGGTCTAAATTTAGTTTGCACGGTCTAAATTTAGTTTGCACGAAAGTTGTAAACAACACCATATAAGGATAGACATTCCATATTTGGAAAAACGAACGTTACGGGGCAGATATTCAAATTCATTAGTCATCGATGCAGGCTCTCAATTCAGCTTGAGAGCCTGTTCGCAGGCTAATTACTATGTAAAGTCTATACTGACCCTTGCGAGATTGGGATCTTTAGTATATGTTTAAAATGCAAGTTCAATCACAGGGGGAGGAAGGTGGGGTGGGGGGGTGGGGTGGAGGCGGGGGGAGGGGGGGGGGAGCAATGTAAATTTATTACATCTAAATTTTGAAAGAATGAGGGGCCATGAAAAATTTACCATGAGTTTAGAAATATCTTCCAGCCCACCTCCGGCATTAATAATGACTGCTCCCTAATATGTCTTTGGTATCATAATATGAATGCGACCCATTATGCTGCTTACATTTGACAGTGTGTATGACTGTATGGCCCAACGTATGTTTGAGGGAAATTCTTGTTTTCAGATTACAGTATAACAACAATATTTTCTGCATCCCAATATATATTCTACATGCAATTGCAAGTGCGACTTCTGTTTCAGATAGGGCCCAAATCATTTGAGGCCGAATAGGATAGCCAATGGGAGGAGGGTAATATTAGCAAATTTAACTCCCTTACTTTTATTCTTCTTCCATTTATCAAATGTGAAGGTATAATTGTTTCGTCTAGGTCTTCCGTAGACACATACGTTAGCTGTCTCGAATTTAATGTTGCTTCTATCTCCGTAAAGTAAAGTTCTTCGTTCGTGACTTTGGAATTTTTAAGAATCTTGTATAAACATCTCTTCACAATCTTAATTAGTCTCTCGAAGAACGCTCCCCACCATGGTGCCTTCTCAAGCTTGAATGTCCATCGGATTCTTTGATCTGAAAGGTATTTCTTCACTTCTGGAATCTCGAAAAGGGCTGCTAATTGTTTTGAAGCCGCTTTAAATGTTTTTCCCTGATTTCACCTCTCGTGGTATTCCTCGGCGCGGGCTGTGAATATTCTAAAACTTCGTATAAAGGCTTCTGCCGTCATATCACTCACAACATCCAAATGTACTGCTCGCGACACAGCACAAGTGTATATAACCATGTAAACCTTCTCCATGGCCACTGCGTTCACTTGTTTCACATACAGTGGTCCAGCGGAGTCCACCCCTGTATACGTTACTGTGCCTAGCAATTTGCTACAGCATCTGTCGAAATATTTTACCGGATACGCCCACTGGATACGCCCACAGCTTCACTCCCCTCTATTCCTTATTGTAAGTTTCGCGCGTATTTACAAAACTGTCACATAGGGTACAATGTACAGCGAACGACAATGTGAAAATAGCCTGCAAAGCAGGCGCGTTGAAGGGCGACAATATTTTACGAAAATATTAATACGAAAGTTTATATGGCTTGTTTACGTATTCAAAAACAGTGTTTTAGTGTTTATATGCAAATTAGCAAACCAAAGAAGACAAAGACTACCTATTCACAGATTTTACAGCCATATACAGGTACGCAAATCTCGAAAAGAATACTACTGTGCTCCCTTGATTGGTACCGTGTTTTGAGCATTTTGGTACGAAAAATTAAGATTTTGAGTAATAGTTTTCCTTTCTAGATCTGACCCAGATTTTCACCAAGGACTTATAAATAGTATTATTATATAAAGTATAGTGCTTTATGGAGATGGCGAGCACTGATAAAAGTGATAATCTCACATGGGAGATTATAATTTATGATAATCTTACAATCATGTGAAAATTATCGCTTTTCAATTATCGCTTTTCTGTAAAAATTATCGCTTTTAAAAGACCGCCCTTTATATAATAAATAGAAAAATACATGGATGCTTGAAAATACCAGATTTATTTCTTGTGTTGAACATGATATCTCACTTGTTTAGCAGTGCTCACTCGTGAGATATCATGTTCAACACTCTCTACTTACTAGAAATGCATGCAATAACCCCTCGCCTGTTTTCAAAAGATGTATACCATATCTATCTGATATACACTAGATAGCGCATCTCATTTAGTAAAATTAAAGCCAAGAATATTCCAGGGGTTACCCCCATTTGAATAGATGGCGGCCATGTTGGTCGTTCCCACTTGCTAATAAACGCTTAAAAACAACAATAACTTTCTTTATTTGAATAGTTTAAAAACGTATTTGGAATAGGGTTAACTTAATGTTTAAGTTCCCTGTTTAAGAAATAGAAAACATACGAATCTTCTCATTTCATGGGAACGACCTGAGACTGCAATCACGGCTTCACTTTTTGAATTGCAGAATAATTAGATGCACTATCTAGTGTATATAAGATATCTATGATGTATACTCAGTGCCGTTGCGAGTACTTCGTCTCAGGGGGTGTCTGAGGTTAGATAGAGGGTGATTACCAAAATGTTTCCAGATGTATAAAAAATTTTCAGAACATATTTTCGAAAATACAGTTGTTTTCCAAATTCACTTTCTCATATCCTGAGAATTACCTGAATTCCCCTGTAAACCTTTTGCAAATCTACTTAAATTTACCTAAAAGTGCACTGGAAATCTACCTGAAATTCGTCATGAGCAATTATCACGGGTGTTGCACCCCCCCCGCCCCCCCCAGTGAGTTTCAAGCAAACACTCTTTGATTTATTGTTTTTCACCTCCCAAAATATTGTGCATCATACTCTAGAGCATTTTGCTGTTGGCATGCTCTAGCGTGGTTCAAATTTATGAATTTTATTACATAAAGTCATGATAGTGTTTTATAGAGATTTTGAGCACTGATAAAAATGATAATCTCTGACATGTGAAATTATTCATGATAATCTCACATGTGAAAATTATCGCTTTTCAATTATCGCTTTTCTGTAAAAATTATCGCTTTTCAAAGACTGTCCTTTATATAATAAACAGAAAAATACATGAGTTGTTGGAAATACCAGATTGATTTCTCGTGTTGAACATGACATCACACTCGTTCGCTGCGTTTACTTGTGAGATATCATGTTCAACACGAGAAATATATAAATCTGGTATTTCCACGCACCAATGTATTATTCTCTATTTAAACTACAACTTGACTGGTTTAAATTATTATCAAGTTATCAGTGATTGTAAAAGTTGCAGATAGAAGTGTTTTGTTTTATATTATTATCAAGTTATCAGTGATCGCAAAACCTCCAAATCCTTAATTTCAAATGCCCCGCCGGGGCTAAGGTTCGAGTGGAAATGCCCAACCCCCGGGATGTGCTTTACATGAAAATGGCTGGGCGAGGGGGATGGGCACACATGGATTTGGCTGATGCATGAGAAGTCATGGAAAAAGAAAAAACTTTTCATATTACTACTATAAAATGGCTTATGGTGCTTATTCCTGTGCTTATTCCAGACTGCTTGTCAAATATTTACTTGCTAGAAGTAGAAATTTACTCTGACCACTGGATGAAGAAGACATTAAATAAGTACTTGTCAATAAACAGAAATGTATTTTATTTCATAGTATTACAATTTTATTTTCATACTATAAAAATAAAATATAAACATGCAGCATAGAATATGCAAATTCGAGGCAAAATTATTGTTGAATCGGTTTATTTATAGGATTTTATAACAAATAGCAACTAATTAACAATTAGACAACGAGGCCGAGTTGTCTATGAGCGAATAGTCAACGAGGCGAAGCCGAGTTGACTATTTGCTCATAGACAACGAGGCCGAGTTGTCTAATTGTTTTAGTATAAACTTTAACATTAATTTACAACTAGGCTGCAAACACAATACAAAAATACACAAAAAACATTATAAAACCATTCAGTAAAGGTAAACAAATATTTTAGTTTTTGTTCGCGTAAAATGTTTTACAAAATTCAGTTTTAATTTTAAAATTTCATTGAGTGTATGTTATTTTGTCTATTTTCTTACCCTTAAAAATTGCCATTCCATATTTTTGTTGCTTTTTTCGGGGTTTTTTAGTACAGAATTGTTCAACAAGTCGTCCAAAAAATCATCAGACACTTCGGCAAAAGTGCAAAACGCGAATTTTCCGCCATTTTGAATTTTCTATTAGTAGGCTATCACTAATAGCCTACTAGTAGCGTAGCCAATCAGAAGGCACGATATGTGATAGCCTACTAGTAGGTTTATACTAAAAAAAGTTTATACCTTGTCCAGTGCTTCCACTTTGAAAAACCAAAAAATCCTTTTTTTCTCCTTATTTTGACCGAAATTTCCTTCAAAAAATTGTGAAATTTCCTTCAAATTTCCTTTAAATAATTTAATAAAATTAGATTGAATATTCTGCAAAATAGCCCTTTCTCAACATAACAATCATCTGGGTGTTCAATTTTATCATTGCTTTAAAGTCTAAACAAACCCAATTATACGACTTTATTTCCGTACAGAAAGTGAGATAACTAAAAACTATAAACAGAATGACGTCACTGAGGGAGACAAAAATGAATAATGAGCTAACCGATTATATTCGTCAGAAATTATGATATTTTATCGAGCACTTATTATTGTAAGAATAATGTAATAAGAATATTACATGAAGTATTCGCTTTCGAATTATTCTGGGCCATACCATATTCATTAGATATTAAATTCATTATAGATGATTAAATATAAATTCTACAATTTCTATTTTCGGTAAAATTGTGACCAGATTGAGGTTTATTTTACGCTTTATTTTCAAAATATATTAAATATTATCAATTTTGGCGATATTTTGATTTTTCCTTCAAATTTCCTTTGTTCTTCTAGAATTTCCTTCACATTTCCTTCAAAATTTATTTCCTTCAAATTTCCTTCACATTGCAAAAATTTCCTTTCAAAAGGAAATTTCCTTTCAAAAGGAAATTTCCTTCAAAGTGGAAGCACTGACCTTGTCTTCACATCGCTTTATTCTGTTAGCCAAAACAAGGGGGAATTTCGTTCTCAACCAATCAGCGCTTTTGTTTACATTTTTGCCCTAAGCCAATCAGAATGCGTAAAACGCTTCATCACATGAAATTTGTAAACAAACATATGGGGTTACTTCAGAGCTTTTCTGCAAGCGGTTTTTTGTTTTTTTGCCATGAAATTCATATATGTTGTTCTTAAAAGAATTCTCCTCAACTACCTCGTGGCGATTTTTGATTAATTGCGTGATTGCGAAGATATGGGTCTTCAAACTTTGCCTTGCGCAAGCTTAAATACCACCCCCCGAATTTGTAGGTTCCGAACGGATTAGCGTTTTTAAAAGCCTTTCAAATCGAGGTTTGAGACGTTTTATTTTTTAAAAGATACTTTTATCTTCATATTTTCACATTAACTTATTATATAATATCCTGTGTAACAAGTAAACAGGACATTTCCGGGCCGGGACAAGTTGACATGTCGATTTCTTGCCAACAAAATTTTTAAAATTTTGTTGGTATAAATGGGATAAAGAAGCTCATCAAATATTTGGACCTTCAAACTTATGCCAAGTATTTATTTGATTGATTAGCTCGATAACTGTTTTTTGGCTCGTTTTTCGTCGATTTCGACATTTAGTCGAGCTTAGTCGACTTCAAAATAATGTGGACATGAATATTTTCGTTTGTTTAACAATAACAGTTGTCTTCATTGGTTTTAATCCTTGATTGACAATATATTCATTGGTCTCAGAGTCCTAAACTTAAGGAAGATGGATGACATTGGGACAGAATGATTTTGTTCAATGTTGCTGTTCAGGTATCAAAATTTATGGATATATACCTGTATATGAACTTCATTGTTTTTTTACTTCATCTGGCTCACTTGTCACAATTGGGCCCTGTTCATATTACCTGGCTGGGTGGGAGACGACATTTGCCAGTCTGTTCTATCCTATCCTGCTACTATCGCAGTGTGACCAGGTTTAGTACATTTTATTACCAGATCCCGTTGGATATGCCCTTAGACAACCCCACCTGCTTTAAACAACTGCAACATTAAGAACAGGAGGGGGCAGCCAACCAATTTTAAGCAGTTTTAGTAAAAAAATTTGCATATATGGTCACACTGTACTATCGGCCTAGCTAAGCGTGAGGTTTCCATTGCCAGAATCCTGGCTATATGTAAGCCAAGAAATTCACCATATACAATAAGGATCAATAAGCACTATATACCAAACAGGCAACATGAATTAGGCTTCAAGCATGTGTTCTGGATAGTCTAGATCATATAAACAGGTCCCCAATAGATCCCGATCTACTATAATTGAAACATTTTAGTCCATAAATTTGTGCATTACCAGAATACCTGTGCACAAATGAATATTTTACACATATTATATAATGCAATCCAATATTAAGCCCCAGTAAACTCACAAATAGGCCTCACTTCCAAAAATCAGATCTCCCTTCCAAAAATAAGCTCTCCCTGTTAAGGGCTGTCAAAATGGGCCATGCTAGCCCAGCAAACATGGCTGGATTTTCTTTTCAGGGCTAGTTTGTCATTTGCCTCACAGGAGCCAGGCTAACCTGGCAACTGTTGTCAAGAAATTTGTGTGAAATGCTGGTTAATTTGTTAATGACAACAGCTTCAGAAGGCTTATATTAATCAATTTCTTACTTACTTGGGCCAAATTGTGTATTATAACATGATTTTCAGTCGAGTGAGCTGGTTGGCCAGCTTATGACCTTTATTAGTGTGAGACTCCCAATGCAGGATATCAACTTGCTCAAGCAAATTCTGGGCCAATAAATTCAACCAGGCTGTTTCATGTGAATGCAATCTCAAACATATATAAAATTAATATACGAAGCAGTATCTTACCATGGGCAGGTGTATATTTAGCCCATATAAATGAGCAAGACCAGCTTGTGCAACAATTAGTGCATGAGGCGGAAGAGAGGGGGAGCGTAGACATGAGGAATGTTCAGAAATGGCTTTGTGCAAATAAACTAAGTCTAAATATAGTGAAAACCGAGTATGTTTTAATTGGAACACGACATAAAATAAGTAATATTGATACCCATCAAGGAGTTAAAATAAATAATCAATTGATTAAAAAAGTTAAAAATACCAAAGCTCTTGGAGTTGAATTAATTAGACGAAAACTTGAGTTGGGAAAACACATTAACCATATTAGCAGTAAAATATCATCAGTTATTGGGGCTATTAGAAAAATGAGGGAGTATGTCGAACAAGACATTTTGATAAAAGTTTATAATGCCTTAATCCAACCTTATTTTGATTATTGCTGTGAAGTATGGGATACACTTAATAAAGGCCTATGCGAACGTCTACAGAAATTCCAAAACAGAGCGGCTATAGGTTGATCATGAACTTAAAAAATGAACATGGTCAGTCTATTTTGGCACGAAAATCTCTAGGCTGGGTAACACTTGAAGAGCGTAGGGCACAAATGAAAGCCAGGCTCATGTACAAGACAGTTATAATGGTTTAGCCCCCCAACGACTATGCGAAGCTTTCCAAAATCTGAATACCATTCATGACCATAATTTGAGAGGTTCTTCAACAAGGTTTTATATTCCAAGACCAAAAACGGAATCCTTAAAAAAAGCTTCCAATATAGTGGGGCTAAACTATGGAATCAGATACCTGAAGAGATACGCAATTCGGTATCGTATAATTCGTTCTGTAAAAAGCTATCTTCCTCGACCTTAATCTCGACTTAAAGTAGTAGTTAATTTTTTGTCTAAATAGGTATATATAATTGTATTTGTTATGTATGTAATATTAGAGCTAGTATATAAATAATAATTTGTAAGTACACATCCCTTTTGGAAATCAGCTTTTGCTGAAAAGGCCAATGTGTTTAAATAAAGTTGATCTATCTATCTATCTAGTTGATAACCTCAATTTTTGTGTCATGTGCACACGTTATTTCCACGCGCCACGCTATGCATAAATAACAATGACGCTCATGTAAATAACAAAGCAGCGAATGATATAAATTCCTCAAAATATAACTCTCGCATAAAAAACCCCATGAATACTTATATAATCTGTATAGTTTTATTCCTCTGCATTATCAAAATTTAATAAAATTTTAAGTAGGTTTAAAGCCACAAACGCGCAGCGCGAGTAGCTTAATTTAGACCAGGGCGCTTATATAGAGGGCGGTGAAACGGCTATAGGCGCGCCGGTCGATGTGTGATGCAATGAACTGGTAACGAGTTTGTTGTGGTTACTATGGCGACGTTGTCTTATATGGCAAGGATACTCTCTCCTCCGCAGAGGCTTTAGTTTTCTTAGCATTTAATATTACGATGAGATACATTTCACTACACTTTACATGGCGGATCTTGGAACACGAGCGTAGCCGCTGGGCGAAGGAGCGCAGATAAATATGGCGGGAAAACTGAGCTGGAAGTTTTGACTGTTTTGTAGTCAAGTTTTGATGAAGAAATAGATATTGGGGGTAAAATTCCAATGTTATACGATAATTTAGTAGATTCTGCTATTGTATTTTCAGGTAATACTGCCAATATTTTAGAGTTTTTGCTGAAAACGCTTGCGAACGGTTGCTTTCGCAAGAAGCATGACGTGAAAGGTTTTTAAAACTCTTCGGATGTACACGTATCGTTCACGTTCGATACAATACAATTCACAATTAATTTTAGCCACTAGTTGATCTTTTCAGTTGAAAATCAAGAAATGCTCAACTTGAATTTGTATTTTTTTAACGAATCCTTACGAGAAGTTGTCTTGGCCAGCCGGTCAAAAAAATCAAACTTATAGGACGAAACTTTTTCGACTATTGCGCTCAACAAACGTCCGAGCGAGTCGTATTTTGATTCAAAGGCCAAGAAGTAAAATATGTTTACGGCTCAGAATTACTTCAATTGAATGCCTTAAAAGTCGTACAAAATTATTAACATAATAACCAAAAATCACGACATGGCCAAAATACAATTGTTGTTTATTTTTTTGCAGCGAAATAATGGTCTAATTAGGCAAAATTTAACACACAAAAATACCTCACTTTCCAACGCTGTGTATTCAATTGCTCAACTCCGAGTCTTATGAAAACTTTTGGAGATAAGCACATAATTATAATCTTTACCATCAACTGAATTTCGAAGTTTGGACGACTTGATAACATGCTCAAATGCTGTTTTGAAAATTTCCCTTCATTGAAGTAATCAAAAGCCCGACTCATTATCCTCAATATTTCTTTCAAAATTCAACTATACAGGCCAAACAAGCATTCGTACGATACACTAGTTACTACTTCGTCGTTACAGTGCAAAAACATCCTCAAGAATTTCGTAGTTAATGAAAAAACAGCAAAAATACAACAGCAGGAAAAATCACGCTCCTTGTCAACTTTTGCCGAAAAGCACGCTCGTGCCAGTCCTTTTCCACATCACACATCGATTAGCACGACATCAGCGCGTTTCACCGCCCTCTATATAAGCGCCCTGATTTAGACCTAATAAAACACGACCTGCGAGTTTATTAAACGGCTTCAAACACGACTACAAATTCAATAGATATACTGCCTTATTAGTATTGTTTATATAAAGAGTTTTAAGGTGGTCTTCCACCCAAATTTTCCAATATTCGTTATTTTTTAGAAAAACGTAAAAATGTAGTCTTTATAGCGTTCTTTATAAAATCCGTGTAATTTTAAGAACGAAAATGTACCGTAAAGCAGAGAAATCCAGCAAATTATACACCTTCGTAGGGTAAAACCACGATTTTACCCGGAGCGATAAAGATATGCGATTGGTTTAGTCCATTGTTCCATTTTCAATTATATTGTTCTATCTAAGTTATTCTAATATATGCAAAAACTTTAAAATCGCTTTTCTCACATGAGCATTTTGCGAAATACTAAAAACTCTCCTACTGTTCATACTGACTCAATTCGTTCGAAATTTTCAGAGTTTATTTGCTTGTTACATAGCCATGTCATGGACCTAAAAAACTTCATATATCAGCAATATACATTGCAAGAGTAGCCTTATAAGAACTCCTTTCTTCATATAATTTTAAAAAAGTAAAATATGAAGGCCTTATTATATTACTTGTATATTTTCTTAGGTTCATGACATAGATCGATGTATTAAGTGTCCATTAAAGCTGTTTCTAAAATCCTCGGTAAATTAGTTTGGCTCACATCATTTTTGGAGCAAACCCTATATTTTACCCTATAGCGAGGCCTATCTTAGTTACTATGGCAACGACGAATGTAAAAGTTACTGATCCTGCGTCAGCTGAGGATATTCCATCATATTTGACTCAAATATGATGATAAAACCTTTAAATTGAAAAAAATGTTTTTAGGGTGGAAGACCCCCTTAAAGCTACTGCACGCGACATATTATGGTTGACAAGATTTGCCAATAAGCTTATGAATTATTCATGAGTGTTTGAAATAGTTAATATATCGGCGTGACATAATTTGCAGTGGCGCCGGCAGGATCTATTTTTGGTGGGGCAAATCCGAGTGCCGAAGGCACGAGCCTACTAGGGGGGTTGGGGGGTATGCCCCCCGAGAAAATTTTGAATTTGGGGTGTCTAAAACCGCATTTCCTGCGTTTTGGAGGCACTTTAAGAGAAACATAAAGGTTTTAATAAATCACTTTTTTAGTAGATCGGAACATAAATGATTTCCATACAATATATGAATCAAATGTATTTTTAATAAAACCAAGAATGAAATGAAGAATTTAATGTTATAATACATATTTAGTACAAGTTCCATCTTATAAATTAAGCATACTTGGGGGGGGGGGGG